GAAAAGCTGAGGTGTAGGGCTTGACCTTACTGCTGGAGGCCAGACCATTCGCCACGAGGGAAAGGGTCCTTGACACAGGCATGCCAGTCAGCAAAGCAGGACTGGAGGGACGCAGAGGACCTGGAGCTGCCTCCTGCTCTTCCAACTACCCAGTCCCACATTGACACAGCCTCTCCCTGGAAAACTCCAAAGCCTGGGCCTCCACAGAGAAACCGTCTGCTTTCACGTCCCTGAACCACAAATATAAACTTTATTTCCCCACAGAACAAGGGAAATCGGGCCAGGAAGAGAAAGGAAACTTGGTGATGTGCCAAGCTCTAAAAGACAGGAGAAGACCAAGCCCAAAGTGGCAAAATGCAAAGCTAGCCAAGGAATCCACGAGCAATGCAGACCATGCTAGCCAGGGAGTCCACGAGCAGAGAATATCGGGCTAGCCACGGAATCCATGAGCAATGCAGACCAGGCTAGCCACAGAATCCACGAGCAATGCAGACTAGGCTAGCCACTGAATCCACGAGCAGAGTATATCAGACTAGCCACGGAATCCACGAGCAGAGTATATCAGGCTAGCCACGGAATCCACGAGCAATGCAGACCAGGCTAGCCAGACAGCCCACCAGCAGGACAGACCAGGCTAGCCCCATCTGACTACTGATTTGCACCTGTAAATGGTGTTCTCACTGTCTTATGCTACAGAAGCCACAAAATAAGATTCAAGTCAAGCAAAAAACCACATTGATGACAACCCAAAAAGCTACCCCACTGGTCCAGTTTAGAGAAAGTTACTTAATTACAAAAAGTGAGTTTGTGAGGGTTGGAAAGACGGCTCAGTCAGTAAAGTGTCTGCCCCATGAACCCCAGCACCCTTGTAAAAGCTGAGCCACACTTGTAATCCCAGTGCTAGGGCAGTGGAGATGGGAAAAACACAAGGTGGACGGTTCCTGAGGCTGGCCTCTGGCCCCATACACATGCATACACATATGAACACCCGAACACATGTGGACATATCATACACCTACACACACCTGCACACATATGAGCATATTCATGTATATACCTATACATAAACATACCTGCACACACGTGAATATATATGCACACACCTATACACACACCTGCACACATGTGAACATGTATATGCACCTACATACACACCCCACATACACTCCATAGACACATATGCATAAACACAATAACCACACAAATACCTCTCCCCCTACATCTCTCTCTCACTCTCTCTCTCTCTCACACACACACACACACACACACACACACCACATACACTCCATACACACACCAAGTAAATACATGGAAGCTAAGCAAACATTTCAGGTGTAGTAGCTTGTGGGCCACAGTAACGTGAGTGTGGTAAATCCCCTCCCCGCTGTACCTTACTTCCTTTCTTCTATTCTCTGGTAGTAGCTCTCCTGCCCTGGGGTTTTCCTCTAAAACTCTGATAAAAGTGTTGCTATCTATCCAAAAAGTAATTAAAAAAAAAATTAACCTAAGGTCAATGGATGGCGGTCTGCAGGTACCGTCATCTGAAGTGAATGGAAAAATTCCCAGCATCCTCTCTTAATAATTTCGGGTGTGTCTGCTAAAGTGTACTCTGCAGGCTCGGCCTCCTTCCTCTGCGTGTGGTGTCTCAGCTACATCAGTATCCTACCACTGCAATCCAACGATGCAGATGACAGAAGTCAATGAAATCAGCTTCGCCGGCTACAAGCCCCCCGGGGTTCGGCAGCACCCCTCCCCTGGACCATGAGCTTATTACACCAGCAGAATCCAGCCTGAGAAAGACAAAAAAAATTGGCAGTCACAGGGAGGAGTAAGCTAGAATTTTAGTGGGGATTTGTGTTGCCTGGTAACCTGACTAACCCTGCTCCCCAGCAGAGCGTGAGGGGGCCCGGTCCTCACCAAGTCAGAGGGACTGGAGTGTAGCTGGGTGTCTATTGGCCTGTGCTCGCAGCTGCCTGGAGGACAGGGCAGGAGGTCTGCAAGTGTGTGCAGGGTTCGCAGTGACAAATTTGTAAGGGCTCAGAGACAGAGCGATTGCCTAGCATGTGTGAGGCCCCCAGGGCCAAATGCTGGCGCAGGTCTGTCATTCCACCCAATAAACCACCCACACAAGGAAGCAAACAGAAAAGGTGGGGGGTACGCACTCGAGCGCCATGACCCAGGCTGCTCGCTCCCAGCCTTGGTCACAGAATTGCCAGTGGGTAGCAGTGAGTGCAGAGTCAAGGGGACCGTGTGCTCAGCCCTAATTGGGACTTTTTTTTTTACCCCCACCCCACTCTACACCAAGGCTCAGGGAACTCTGCACAAAAGGAGGCTGGAAGAATGTACGAGCCGAGGGTGGAGGGGAACGCGGTGAAATGGTAACTTCCAGACATGACAAGGATGCACCCATGACCACACAGCAGCTGTGGGTACCTGCATAAGGCCTGCACAGGATGGGGCCCATCAATCACTGTCCCAGCATGGGTGAGGGAGCTCAAGCCCTACCCCTTACTGAGGAGCGGTTGCTGGAGGAGAGCTCATCTTTGAGTGCGTGGGCTAGGTTTCCCATGCTGTAGTGGGTGGTCCCACACTCATGCACACGTGGGCAGCACTAATGAGATTCAGTGGGTTATCAAAAAAGGAAAGAAAGACTGGAAGGCGATGTGTTGGAGAGAGGGACAAAAGGTTAGTCAGAGAAGGAAAATGAGGAGTATGGGATTCTCAAATAATTAAAAACACTAGGAAGAAACGGCGTTTCAAACTCATGCCGTTAAATGTGAAAAATCTGAACGACAGATGTAATGAAAAGCATTTAAAATGTGAACAAACAAGGAAGGTAGCACACATCTGTAATCCCAGCACCTAAGATGCTGAGGCAGGAGGATTACCAGGAGTGCCAGACCAGCCTAAGATACAGAATGAGACCACACCTCAACAAAAAGTTACTTACCATATGGCAGGCACATGGGACACTGCAGTTCTGGAAAGGAACTATGGACCAGGAATGGGTGTATATCTGAACCCAGGTCTTTTTTTGGAGGCCAAGTGAGTTTTGTTTTGTTTTGTGTTTGTTTTGTTTTGTTTGGTTCAATTAAGACAGAACTTTATTATGTGCCCGAGGGTGGCCTGGAACTCACTATATAGTCCAGGCTGGCCTTAAACTCACAGAAATCCTCCTGCCTCGCCTAATCAAGCACTAGAATTGCAGTACGGAGTCACCATGCATGATTGTGTCTCTGCACCTTGTCACTCAGAATTGGAGGACAGAGAGCCAGGGCGGCAGCAGGCAAGTTCTGCCAACCCAAAGGTCATCCTCGCAAAACTAAATGCACCCCTTCCTCCTGTTAATGCACCACTGCCAGGATATGTCCCTGTGAGGAGCAGGGCGAGCCACCGCAGGGAGAGAGAGGCACAGGTGGGTTACCCTGCACGCAGGTCTGCTGGGTCACTCAGGGTTGCACCGACTTGAAGGAGTCATCCTGTTTCAGTGTGATGGGCATAAATGTCAGTGAGATGGTTCTGTGGATAAGGGTGACCGCCACAAAACCTGACAGCCCTGGAGACTCACACAGTACAAGGGCAGAGCTGACTCCCACAAGCTGTCCTCTGAGCTCCCGCCACTGAGGCACACAGTAAACGTTTATAATAAAAACATGTTTTAAAAAATTATAAACCACAGCCCTTTCACGAACCTGTTTTGTGCACTATGAAAACCCACGCGTTAGGTAACTAGGCGTTGTTATCTAACCATAACCGCCACGAGAGCAAACAATTCCCAGGAAAGAACTTCCCAGATACACTTGGAGACTCTACTTACCGGTAAGCCGCAGTAAGAAATAAAGCAGTAAGTAGTCTCAGCCCAAGAGAGCCATCCCCAACAGCCAGCTGGGAAGCAACTCCGGTCAATTCCAAATGCCAGTGCCTTTGTCTGCAAAGTTCTCTCATCATTAACTTAAATGTTCGCTATCAGCGTTAACGCCGCCCTTCCTAAGGAGGGCTTTCTAAGTAAACTTTAATTAATCAGTTAATGCAATTAGACCGGAGCCCCCACTCCCTGGGTCTTTACATTCTCTCTCTCTCTCTCTCTTCTCTCTCTCTTACATACACACACACACACACACACACACACACACACACCAGTATGCTTGGCGACCGGGACATTTCCCCTCTCTTTCCTGGTAAAGGAACTTGACAGAGGCCATGAAACAAACTTTAACGCAGGAAAAGAGATGTTTTTCTATTCTTCTATTTCTGAACGGGATCTGAACTAGATTGTGGCCAACATATGACACTGACTTCCGAGGAACAGGCTTTTACTTCTCACCACGCGTTCGTTCTGGCAGGATTCCGTGGGTTATTTTTAGCAATCTTAAATTGCCTTTTTTTCTTTTTCTACTATCCCTTTTTTCTTTCTTTCGAAGAAAGAACAGGGAGGGAGGGAGAGGGAGAGGAGAGAGAGAGAGAGAGAGAGAGAGAGAGAGAGAGAGAGAGAGAGAGAGGAGAGAGCAGGCTAAAAAGAAGTAAGGACTCTGACTTGGGGCTCTTAAATAGCCCAGACCATTCTCTGTGCTGCCCCGAACGCTAAGAGCGCAAACGCCCCGAGGAGGGCAGGGTACACTTTGGGGGACTCTGTCAGCCAGTACCGGAGCCCCATAAGTTCTTCGCATGCTCAGACCAGCCAGCCAGACAAAGACCGCAAGTGCCCCGGCGGACGGTTCCAGACAGTCAGGGACCGAGTCTCCTCCAGTTGGGCCCTCTCCCTAAGCAGGGAGTCTCACACGCCGAGGATGGAGTCCCCAGGGCGCCCCCAGCGAGATCCGGGTCCCTCCGCATCGCCCCCGCCCTGCGCCCAGCGCCGATCTGCGAGCCCCTCCCGGGCCCCCGCGCTGCAGGCCCGCGTCCCGCGCGTCCAGATCCCGGCGCACCCAGGCCCCGCCACGCCGTTCCGAGTGGACCCCGAAACCCCCGGCCCACGTTCCCACACGAACCCTGCTACCCACCCGGGTCCCGCCGCGGGGGCTGGACTCGCGCCGGCTCCAGGAGCCGCCACCGCCGCCGCCACTGCCACTGCCGCCGCTAGCGAGGCGCGGCGGGGAGGGGATGTGGAGAGGCCCGGCCCTCGCTCCGCCCCCGCTCCGCCCCGGGACCCGCCCAGGCCCGCGCAGCCGGGAACGCCGCGCCCAGTCTCCACCCCTGGAGCGTCCCCGTGCACCGGACGGCCCCTGCTCGGGGTTCCCTGCTGGCTGCATCTGCTGGTCACATTGCACTCCGGGCACCCGAGACGCTGCCCTGGATGGGAGCCCTGCGCCCTCGGTCCGAGAGGCAGGACCTTCCGGTAGCACCCGCGTGTACGCAAACCCCCTGCGTTCCTGTTTCTCTAATTTGGGGGTAAGAAGGAACGATGCCCACCATAGGACACCAGAGCCAGGCGAGTTTTCTGGACCCGGCATCCCCACCCTGCATCCACCCTCGGAGCCCCTGACCATCATCGGGTTCGAAGGTGCTCAGTTGCATGCACTTTAGAACTGTCGTCACTCTGCAGAAACCAAGTCCGGCCATGACAGGCTCGGACACATGGCCATGAACAAAACACATATTTGTGCTTTACTGCGTTTGCATGGTGTTTCTGTGAGAACTGCAGGACGCAGCCAGGCCCCGCCTCCTGCGGGCTTTGAGCGCGTGGACCAGACTTCGCCGGATGTTGATGGCGTCGCTTAGCAACGAGAGATGGCGGAGCCGGAGGACCAGGCTGACGGGTAAGCCTGGCCAAAGGAATAATGGACCCACCAAATGTTTTTCCCTGGCTTTCTGCACGCAGGTGCCCCCACCCCACGCTCCTTCCCCTTCATTTCTGTACCCCTTCCCATTCTCCTCCCCACTTTCTGGACCTTTCCGACCCTCTTCTTCGGCCCCACCCTCCGCCCTTGTCGCTTCTCTCTTACACCTCCTGTCCTTTGTCCTTTCCTAACCATCACCACCACCACCCCGCCCATTCCCTACTCCTAGCCTCTGCTTATGCTGGACTACAGATTTGCACACACTGCGGTAACCATGGCAACCACCGTGCTTGGTGAACCAGGCTACAAAGCAGGGCATGGATAAGATGCTGTCCAGTATTGCAGGAGTTGAGAGGAGAGGGGAGGAGCTCTGGCTCAGATAGGGATTGGGCCAGGCCCATGCCTCCCTTCTGCAAGAATGGATTCCTGTGTGTGCATGTGTATGTGCGTGTATGTGCATGTGTGAATGTGTGTGACTGTGTGTGTGGATGTATGTGTGTGAGAATTTGTATGTGAGTGTGTGAGTGTGTGCCTGTATGTGTGAATGTGTGTGTGACTGTGTGTGCGTGTGTTGATGTGTGTGTGAACGTGTATGAGTGTGTGTACGTGTGTGTGGATGTGTGTGTGACTGTGTGTGTGTGTGAACATGTATGAGTGTGTGTGGATGTGTGTGTGACTGTGTGTGTGTGAGTGTGTGTGTGTGTGTGTGTGTGTGTGTGTGTGTGTGTGTGTAGAAGCTGCAGGAGAAAGTTGGGTGTCATGCTTCATTTCTCTTCACCATATCCACTTGAAGCAGGGTTTCTTGCTGAACCTGGAGCCATCCTGGTGGCCAGCAAGCCCTTCTGTCTCATACCCTCAAGCAACTGTGTCTGGTTTTATGTGAGCACTGGGGAGTCCAGACTACAGTCCCTAATTAAGTTTTGAAAAGCCAAAATACTGTGCTTGCAAACCATGGCAGTGTTGAGAAGCTGCCATGGCAGGGCGTGCTACCCTCTCTCCAGAGACTTTCTGTGCCTTGCCCCAGTATAGCTCCAGTGGCTTTTCTGGGGTTGCCCTCACATGCTGTTTCCTCAACATTATAATAACGACCTAGTGATGCCGGCAGCCAGGTAGAGGAGCGGTGGCCCTTACACCAGTGGGCAGCATGCAGCTTACATGACAGGCTGTGAGCCGCTATTTCCTGTCTCTACAAGCAGGACACACCTAGAGGGCGAACAAGCTTCTGAAGAGGAGAAGGAACAGCAGCATGCCGAAGGCCGTGAGGTAAGTTCCATCTGGAGGGTTCATCTGGGCTCCCGTTTGCTAGGAAACAGACAGACAGGATGGCCAGGGTCCCTGGTGCCATGATAGCTCGCTCTGACAAACTTAGTCCAGGTGCAGGGAAACTTATTTCCTTCCCACCACATCCTCGCTGTCAAACACTCTGACCAAAGGCAACTCGGAGGAGGAAGGGATTTGTTTGGCTCATGCTTCTGGGTCATGGCTCCTTACTGAGCTAAGTCAGGGCTGCTATTCCACGCAGTTCCCTCTAACCGGAGAGCTCACTTGCACGCAGCCAGGGAACCACGGGGGGGGGGGGGACACTGCGTGTTGGCTCATTCGTGGGCTTACGCAACCCAGGACCACTTACCTGGAGAGCTGTGCCATGCGCTGGGACCCTTCACATCAGTTAATAAGACAGCCTCTCTCCCAGACAGGCCAGCCTGGCATACATAGTCCTTCCTGCAGTTGAGACTCTAGGCTGGGTCAAGTTGACAAAAATAACTGGGACACGCCTCATTCCAGAGTGTTAGCTATTAATAATGACCTTTCCAACCTGTAGACTTCCCCGCGTGACTGTAGAAACCAGAGTGCTTACATTAAAGCAAAACCATAGTCTCTTGGGCATGGTGGGGGTGGGGATGCGTGTAGACGTGTCCCTCCCGCCACCCTAACCCCTCTCACTGTCTCATTTCCTCCCCTGGGATTCCTCCCCGCCGCCCTGGAACAGGCGTCGCCAACAATGGAAAACGATGGCCAAGAAACTGATGAGGGTGCAGATGCCACCAAGGGTCCTGAAGAGGACGATAGAGCAGAGAGCGAAGGCAGAGTTGAAGGGAAAATGGAATCCACTGGAGAGGCTCCCCAAGAAACGGAAGTGGAATCCATTGGAGAGGCTGCTCCAGAAATGGAAGAGAAATCCTCTGGAGAGACCACACCAGAATTAGACATCGAACACACTGGAGAGACCATATCGGAAGTGGACGTGGACGCCGTTGGAGAAGACAGCCTAGACATGAATTCCATTGGAGAGGCTGCTCCAGAAACGGAAGAGAAATCCTCTGGAGAGGCCACACCAGAATTAGAAATCGAACACATTGGAGAGACCATAGCGGAAGTGGATGTGGACGCCATTGGAGAGGCCATCCTAGAAATGCGCTTGGAATCCATTGGAGATGCCGGACCAGAGATAGGAGTGGAGCCCACCGTAAAGGCCAGCTCTCCAGAGGAGGATGTCCCAGATGGGGGACTTGACATTTCCGAAAGAGAAATGTCTGAGACCTACACCTTCTCAGAGATGGATGACTTCTCAGAAAGGATCAGCTCCCCAGAGTTCACCTGCTCAGACGTCAGCCCCTGGGAAATGCCTGCAGAGGAAGCCAATGCTGCCTATCTGTATGAAAGAACCAGACAGGACTCTGCTGACCCATCCCAGCAAGCCTTGGGCATATATGAGACGGTGGAATCCAGCCAGGACAGCCAGGTGAGTGTCCCTCGGTGTTTGTTCAAGCCCCTTACTGCTCCCCACCCGATGAGAGGCTCTCAGAGGTACCACCTGCACATCAGTCGGGGTTTCTATTGCTGTGATAAATACCTTGATCAGAAGCCACTCGGGGAGGAAAGGGTTTATTTGGCTTACACATCCTGATCCTAGTTCACCCTGAAGGGGAGTCAGGGCTGGAACTCGAGGCTGGAACCCGGAGGCCAGGGAGGAGTCCTGCTTCCAGCTGGCTCCTCTTGACTTGCTCGAGTTGCTTTCTCATAAAATCCAGGCTCACCCGCCTAGAGGTAATGCAGCCACAGTTCTCCGAGCCTGCCCGCATCAACCGCTAATTAAGAAAACATCCCACAAACTAGGCTGTAGGCCAGCCTGGTGGAAGCATATTCTCAAATGGGCCCAAAACCTTCGAGCGCACATCCTATTAGGAGTTTCTTAGCAGATGTAGGTCAATGCTGAGAGGTCACATCCAAGTTGCCAGATGCAAAGCTGGGGACATTCCGTAGCCACCATCCACGCATGGCACTGCGTGCAGCCAGGTCTCTTTAGTCTTCTGGAGCAGTGCGGCCCAAAAGAGAAAATAAATTTATTTACCAAAATTCAGATTGTTTGGACATGAAGGCACTTGCTCATCACCCAGCACCCAGAGGGGATGCTGAGGTACAAGGACCTTGAACTCCCAGCCAGCCTGACTCTTAAAGAGACCTCATGTCAAAGAAAGAAAAAAAAAAAAAAAAACAGACCCATTTACATGTAAATAGTCATCTATCGCTAGTGGCTAACATATTGAGATGTTTGTTTGTTTGGGGATTAAATGTAGGACCTTGGGCCTGCTAGGCCAGCACCAAAATTTAAAGCAATTACAAATTTACAGAGGGGGGGGGAATTAAGTACAGTAAAAAAACATATTTGAGTTTCGTAGGTGCCAGAGGTCAGTTTCAAATCTGATTTGTCATCTCCAAATGCTTTCACATGTGTGTTTCTCACAAGACATTCTGTGGCCTTTTCTTGGGGAGACACCCACAAATGTCTCCTGGCCCCAGACAGTGAACCAGCAACAGGCTGACATAATGATCCCACCAAAGTCCAGTTTGGAAAGCCGGTGAGTTTACTGGGGTCACTTGGAGGAACATGGATAACTATATCCCCAGAAGCCCAGTTCAGCATCCCCTGGGGCTCCCTGCAGGGCTTGTAGGCAGGGCACCCCTCCCAAAGTCTCCTCTCCACAGCCATGTCAATACTATTACCATCCTCATCATCATCACCATCATCATCATCACCACTATCATCATCATAATCATCACCACCATCATTATTATTTTACTGCTTGTACAACCTTTGAGGCAGGGCCTTGTGTGCCCACTTTCCTAAACCGCTACGTTTTATTTACTTGTGCGTCTCAGAGAGCCTGCCTACAGGAGGGCGTGTTTCAGTTCTGAGGAAATTGGTCCACAGCAGAAAGTTACAGGATGGCTGAGCCCTTAAAGCCTGAACTGGGGCTGGGATGTGGAGGGCTCCCCTAGCAGGCTGGGAGACCTGGGTTGGGTCCCCAGCACCGCAGTGGGAAAATCTGGCAATTCTCTCTCCGTCATTTCCTGGAAGTTCTCAGGTCTCATTTTGCAGCTTACCAAATGTCTGGTGATGACTGGCAGTGCCGTGACTGCCCTGTCTCTCTCCCTGGTCGTAAGAAGATCACAGGCCATTTGCAGAGTAGGTTTTCCAGCACTCCATCCAAGGAGGCTTGGGATTGAGTCCCTGGGCAGAACCACCCAGCATGATTATTATTATTTATCTAGAGTGTCTCATTTTTCATTTTTCTGCCCAGCTGTGTGCACCACCGACGTGACTTCTCCCTGAGTAACTTCTCAGTTTTGTTGTTCTGAGACAGGGTCTCTCTGTTTCTTCCTGGCTGTCCTGGGACTCATCAAGCTGGTGGGTTTTTTTGTTTGTTTGTTTGTTTTGTTTTGAAAAGTTTCTGTTTTATTTCGTGTGTGTGTGCGCGTGTGTGTGTGCGCGCGCGTGTATGTGTGTGTGTGTGTGTGTGTGTATAACAGCCTAAATTGTTGTTAAGCTTCCTTGTTCTTTAGAGTGGCCTGCTAGAATCCAGTCTTTTTCTCGAAGATGGTCCGTCCTCTGAGAACCAGAGTGCTTGACTCCATCAGGTCCCTTACCTTACCTTTTCTCTCTCCTCCCTTCCTGGTCACGTCGGCCAGCCCTCCAGCAGGAGGCTGCGGGAGCCTGAGAGCTCTCTCTGCCACTGTGGAAGCCGGTGCCCCCGGGCTTCTGGCAGATTCTTTTCATCAGCATGGGGAGGCTCCTTCATTCCTGCCTCGTTAGGTGCCATGGCTTTTCCGTGGAACGGTCACTTTGAATTTTCTCAAGTTTTATGCTGTGTCTACTGAGATGACTGTATGACATTTGTTTTTCTAGTTGATAATACTGATGGGTTTTCTTTTCTATCTGTTTGTGTGTGTGTGGGGGGCATGTGTGCACTGGCACGGGGCAGCCAACGGTTGATGTCAGTCACGTGTGTTCCATTATAATTCTCCATCTGTTTAGTTGTTTATTTAGTGAGACGGGATCTCGCTATATAGTCCCGGCTGACCTCAAATGCATCCACCTTATTATGTTTGTAATTTCTATTTTAAATCTTTAAGCATTTTAAATCTATAGAAATTCAATTTTAAAATTCTATTTATTCACGTTTATGTGTCCATACACATATGTGTTTGACCTGTGTGTATGTCTGTACGCCATAGGCATGCCTGCTTCCAGGGAAGGCCAGAATCGGGTGCCTCCTAACAGAAAATCACTCAGAGAGCAAGATCTGTGTACATGAGTGATCGCTGCCCCTGGGGTGTCCCTGTCCCCAGGTCCCTCCACACCCTGGGCTCAGACACGTGTGGAGATGTGCACTTTGGGCGTTGTATACAAGCACACATCAGTGTCAACACTTAACAGGAGTCTCCCCTGACCTCAGAGCTGAGAGGCCTTGGCTCTGTCCTCTGACTGTAGTTAATAGTGTGGGTGTGGCCAACCTCCCACAGACTACACCCCCTCGCCTCTACCACCCCCCACCCTCTTTAGCCTCTGTCCTGGCCCAGTCGCACTTGGTGTGAATTGCTCAGGAAGCAGAGAGGGGGCTGGAGCATTTCCTCAGCATCTGCCCAGGCTGTGCACAATGCTGTCCGTCCACTGAGGCTGTGTCTGTGCTGTGGGATCCCGACAGCTGCCCTGTGGGGTGGGGGACCCTTGTGGACTCCACTGTGCAGATGAAGAGACTGGAAAATGGGCCGGAGAGTTGGCTCAGTGGTTAGAGCACTGGCTGCAGGGGCGGGGGGAGGCCTAGTTCAATTCCCAGCTCACGCATGGTGGCTTCATAGCCATAGTTCCAGGAGGATCTGATGCCGTCTTCTGGCTGCCTGCCGTGGGCACTGCACACATGTATGTATGAACATGTGTACATGCAGACAAAACACCCACACACTTTTTTTTTTTCCATTTATCGAGACAGTTGTTTCTCTGTCCTGGAGCTCTCTCTGTAGACCAACCTGGCCTCAAACTTACTAAGATCCGCCTGCCTCTGCCTCTTGAGCGCTGGGATTAAAGGCGTATGCCACCACCACCTGGCATCAAACACATTTTTTAAATCATTATTAAAAAAGAAACAGAGTTAAAGTGGCTTCCTTGCGCAGGACCTCACCACTGGTTTTGCTCTGAAGCCACTGTCCTGAACCATGAAGCTATGGGCCTGCCTCCTCCCCCAACCCCATGAAAGCAAAGAGCTGCTACGTTTGGAGGCTAGCAGGCTTCCATGTTTGCTGAGCCCCCGTCATGCTTTCTGCTCAAACCCACTCCTGCAGGCTGCGTTGCAGTTCCTTGGTAGAGTTTCCTGCCAGGCTACAGTGAGGAGCTGGGTTTAAATGCCAGCATGGCAAATCAACAACACAAAGCAACTACACACACACACACACACACACACACACACACATTTTGTGAATTTGGTGAGGAGGGCAACAGCCAAGCAATGTCTTCACCTTTGTGTGGGTGACCTGCGAGTAACTTGTTCTGTTTATCCAGTTTCCAGCCTTGGGTCTAGTTTCTAGAAAATTCTCTGAAGTAAATGTTTCAAAGACATCTCTGCATCCTGGCCCTCAGCCTACAGAATTGCAGGCAGTTGGAGAATTGTTGAGGGTCAGTGCATGTACAGACACCCCGCTAGGTTTTCTTTAGAAGCCCTTCCTGGGGCCTTTGGCCTCTGTGCCTTCCATAATGTCCCTTGGGATCTGGATGCCTTGGAAGCAACTTAGAGAGTCTGCGAGTGGGGACGGGCCTGGGCTGGGGCTGAGGCTGAGGGCCTTGAGCCCGCCTTTCGGTGATGCGCACACTTGGGGAGCCTTTGGCATCTGTGTATCTGTTTTACCTCCCCTACTTCACGGGGGTTCATCTGGGGCTCGTGGCCAGAGATGACAGCTGTACTTTGTTCTTCATAAATGGAATGGTGAATCCCCATCTCACTAGTTTCTGGGCCAGCATTTACCTCAGCTGCAGCAGTAAGGGCAGCCCATCTCAGTAACTGCAGCAGTCAGTCCCTTCCAAAGCTAAAAATAGAGCGTGCACGTGCGCGCATGCGTGCGTGTGCGCGTATGTGTGTAAGTGCAGGCCTGTGATTTCAGCACTCAGGAGGTTGAGACACGAGGGTTTTAAGTACCCGACTAGCCCAGGCTACATAGGAGACTTTGTCTCAGTGGCCGGGGGGGGGGGCGGCGAATATGTATACCAAGGGGGGATGTTCAGATGGAAGAGGCCCCTGTGAGAGCACGGAGAGCAGAGGTGTGTTCCTATGAGAAGTGCGCTCAGGACATGCTTTCCGGCCTCTGGCATCTGGGCAGTGGAGCAGAGCATCTTGTCCAGGTGCACGAAGAGCCCCGCTCAGGAGGGGGCACAGTTAAACCACAGCAGTCCACACTGACTTGTTTCTGTCCCTCTGTCTGTAGCTGAGATCCCCAGAGTGCTCTACTCAGAAAGTCTTTCCTATGGGGACGAGACATCGCTTCAGGATGAGCATCATGGGAAGCCTGGCTTCCTCGGAGGCTGATGATTTCCACCCAGAGGCAGAGCAACCATCAGGTACCATGCATCTGCCAGGGTTGTCGTGGAAACCGGCTCAGCCAGTCCACCTTCCCTTCTGTGTGGGTGTGGCCACAGCGGCCACACCCACCTCCTCGTTTCCCTGAAGCCAGCGTGTTCAGCGGATGCAGGTGGCTTTACTGGGCACCCCAGCCAGTCCCTGCATCAAGGCACTGAAGTAGCAGCGTTCTCTAATGAGGTCCCAGCACCCAGAGCCCTGACCAGCCCCCGGCCTATTTCCAGCTGCCTCCTGGCCTCAGAAAGTGGAACCCTGGGGCAACTCCCCTCACATGTCACCTCTGCTGAGTGTGAAGGGCACATCTGTGTCCTCATCTGACTCTGATACTCTGGCACTGAGTGCAGGGGGGTGGGGGTACGGGGGGAGGAGACTGCTTATCCCCCAGGACGCAAACGCACGAGTGGTTCAGTTCACATTATCTAGGAGTGACATGGAAATAGCAGGCCCAGCCGAGTTTAGAAAGAAAATATGGGTCAGGAGGTAGGGAAGGAGCTCAGTGGTGGGATTTGCTTGGCGCACACGAAAATGGGCGTGGTGCCTCCCACTGTAGTCCTAGCTATGCGCAAGCGCAAGCGGAAGCAGGAGGATCCGTGAACCATGAGCCCCCACGTAAATCCAAGCCGCTGCCCTCACCACCATCCAGTGGATTAGCCCACCTGTGGGATGGCTGCGTGACTGGGGCCCGGGGGAGGACGTGTCACGCACGCCTGGGTTGCAGTTCCTCATGGCACAGAGTGACAGATTCACCAGGCATGTGGCTAGTTTTCCTAAGTGAGGCAGTGTCTGCCAGCTGGCCTGGAGGAGCCCCTTCTTCCCCTCCCATGAGGCACCCAGGAGATTACATTTGCTGGACCAACCCCTGCCCTGAAGCTCACACAACCTCATAGTTTTCCCTGAACATCGTATTGGGGTGGGGGGGGCTTAAGGCAGGGTTTCTCTGTGTAATCTTGGCTGTCCTGGAACTCAGTCTGTAGACTAGGCTGGCCGCCAACGCAGAGATCCACCTGCCTCTGCCTGTCTGCCTCTCTGCCTCTGCCTCCCGAGTACTGGGATTAAAGGTGTGTGCTGCCATCACCAGACTCTACCTGAATATTTTGTTGCTGTTATTTGCTTGTATGGATTGTTTTGTTTGAAACAGAGCATTGGGGCTGGAGAGATGATCCAGCATTTAAGGGCACACACTGCCCTTCCAGAGGGCCTGAGTTCAATTCCCAGCATCTACATTAGGCAGCTCACAACCACCTGTAATTCAAGTTCCTGGGGGATCTGACTCCTTTGGCCTCCGTGGGCACCTACACTAGTGTACATGGGCCCATACACCCCATACACATAATAAAAGGCAATGAAATAAAAATCAAAACAGGTTGTCACACAGCCCGGTATGGCCTCAGACTGGCCTTGAATTCCCGATCCCCCTGCCTCCAGGCCCCACGTGCTAGGATAAGGTGTGCACCACCATGCAGGCCTTGACCAAGTATTTTATTTGCTCCATGTAATCAGTGGAGATCTGTTGAGTGTTCCAGTTACCACTCTAGGCTGGAGATCTGTTGAGTACCTACCGTGTTCCAGTTACCACTCTAGGCTGGAGATTCGTTGAGTACCTACCGTGTTCCAGTTACCACTCTAGGCTGGAGATCTGTTGAGTACCTACCGTGTTCCAGTTACCACTCTAGGCTGGAGATTCGTTGAGTACCTACCGTGTTCCAGTTACCACTCTAGGCTGGAGATCTGTTGAGTACCTACCGTGTTCCAGTTACTTCCCTAAGCAGCAGGTCACATTAGATAAAAATCACTCTGCTTGACAGCTGGTATGAAGGCCCACGCCTTTAATCCCCACGGTGCTTGGTAGGCAAAGACAGGTAGATCTCTGTGAGTTCGAGGCTAGCCTTAACCTCTAAGCCATCTCCCCCATTCCTTTTTATTTTTTAACTTTTTAAACTCAAGAGCCCCACAGTAAGGCGCCTCCTTCCTTTCCACTTGTCCCGCGTGAGTCACTGTCTCATCCCCCGGCCCGTGCTGTAGAATGTCTTGAGTCGCTGATGGTTGTTGCCACGGTTAAGCCTGAGAACCCGCCACTAGAAGACTCTTCTTCATAATTGTCAATACATCCTACAAGGGTGGGGCCGAGATGCTTATTCCCCAGAATGCAACAGTCAAGCCTCTGTGACATTTGCCCTCTCTCCCGGGCTGTTATTACAGTGCATCCCCCGCCTGGGCCCCGGGAAGAAACCCGGATACAGTTTCGAGACCATGTCCAGCCCGCCAGCCCTGAGGAAGAGACCGCGGAAGAGACCGCGGTCGAAAGAGTAGTGTCTGAAGGAAGTGACGAGGCAGACGACGAAAGTACCCAACTGGTGGTGCTGGACCCAGACCACGTAAGAAAACGTGCCCTGTGCCGGGGGAAATAAATCGCCGGGGCCAGTCGACTGCCCCGTGCTGCTTGCACGGGCTCATTGCACAATAGTTAGGCCTCCTACTTGGTTTCCCGGTTGACCTACTAAGTTTATGTTCCCGTGATAAAACTCCATGACCAAAAGCCACCTGGGGAGGAACAGGTTTATTTCTGCTGACAGTTAAATATAGTCCAGCATGAAGGGAAGGCAGCACAGGAACTCAAGGCGGAGAGGCAGGAGGCAGGGACTGAATGGAAGTCATGGGGTGGTGCTCCTTGCTGGTGCTCCTTAGTGGTGCTCCCTACTGGTGCTCCTTGCTGGTGCTCCTGCTGATGCTCCCTGCTGGTGCTCCTTAGTGGCTTCCTCGGTTTTCTTTCTTAAACAGCCCAGAACCACCTACCCCAGAGGTGGCACCATCCACTGTGGGCTGGGCCCTCCCACATCAAGCAGTGCCCCTATAAGCCAGCCTAGTGGGGGGCACTTACTCAACTAAGGCTCCCCCTTCTCAGATGGCTGGCTTGTGTCAAATTGACAAAACAAAACAAAACAAACAAACAAAATTAACCAGGACACCGCCCTTGACTGTGATGGGTCTTCTCCTTCTCCTTTGTTTTGTTTTTTTGAGGACTGACTGTCCTCTGTGAGGGGTCTGGACGCTGTAGGACACTGAGCCAAACCTCTGGCTTCCACCCATGTCCTGATAGCCAGAACCGCATGCATCCAGACTATGCTGGTTACTGGAAAGAGGCAGGGTTCACGTCACTTAACTGTAGCCTGGCAGTCACACCAAGGGTCCTTGTCCCAGACCCAAAACAAAGGAGAAAGGCAGATTTGATTTGAGTGACACATTTGGAGAGCTGCAGAGCTCCAGGAAGCCCAGGGTGCACTGGGAAAATCCTCTGAGCCCCCAGTTGACACCAGTGTGATGACTGCTGCTGGCCAATCTGGAAGGATCCTCCCCAGCAGCTCAACAGCCCTTCGGCTAAACCTCTGCAGTGTCTGGCATCAGCCAGGAGGTGCCAGGAACTGTGGCTTTCACAGGAAGAGCCTGGGTTGGGAAATCATCAGTGTCTGCACATACCCACCCCCATCCACTCCCACCCCCACACAGAGAGAGAGAGAGACAGACAGACAGACAGACAGACAGTGCCAGCCAGCCACTGGACCTCTAGGCCGAGCCCTGCTTGGGACGACTGCTTATGGTTTTCTGTTGTTGTCTTAGCCCCTGATGGTCAGATTCCAGGAGGCCCTGAAGAGCTACCTCAACCGGCAGATGGACAAACTGAGGCTGGACATCCAAGAGTTGGTGCGTATGCATGGGTCCCTGTCTTCCTCCCAGCCCAGTGCACACCCGAGGGTCGGCCTCAACTCTGTTTCATTCTCTGGTACAGGATGTGGCCACCAAGCAAAGCCGAGTCCAGAGGCAGGAGCTGGGCGTGAACCTGTATGGGGTCCAGCAGCACCTGGCCCGCCTGCAGATGCAGCTGGAGAAGAGTCATGACCGGCACTCTCTGGCTGCCTGCGAGAGGAGGCGGCGGGAGGAGGAGCTGCAGACCACCCGGGCCCTCTACAACAAGACCTGCACAACTGTCAACGAGGAACGAAGGAAGTGTAAGTCGTCCTGTGAACCCCGAGGACCTGGGGCCAAGTCTTCCGTGGCTATCTCCTAAGTGTGTGTCCACGCGTTGTTGTTGAAGATACCGGCAAAGCAATTACATGTCCAGGAGGGGCTCCCACTTTTTTTTTTTTTTTTTTTTAGGAAAGGAAGGCCCAGCAATGCCAGAAAAGGCCCCTCACTGGGTAGGGCAGCAAAGGCTGTGACTAACAGGGGTCAGGTGCAGGGACTCCAAACGGGGAGTGTGGAGGGCCTGTGGAGGGCCTGTGGCGGTCCAAAGGGCGAATCCAGAGGATGCGTAACAGGGGCGTGGAGCTCAGACAGGGGAGAGGCCATGCTGCTGGCAGGAGAGGGGGTCAGGGCAGAGCCCCAAAGCAGACAGCAGCAGCCAACGGGTCTGAGGGACAGCCGAGTGGAAAACCAGGTAGCTTGGGATCAGGGGGTGCTGTGCGTATCATGAACAGTGTAGACACACACCACCCTCACCGAGTAGACAACAGTGAGCAGCCACACTCTCGACTGGCGCCAATAGTTATTCGTCGTCCTTTGTGTATTCTGATGTTTCCAACTTTCTTTGTCAACTCCATTACTCAAATAATAGCAAAACGCCCTGAAAGTAAACGAGAGAAAGCCCTGGTGTCTCTCCCAGCAAGATGTCTTCTGGACCCTGAGGAATGCGGTGGGGGATTCCGGTCTTCCGTTTGGATGCTTCTGTAACAGACTCCCAGTGGGACGCTGGCAGTGAACAGTATTTGGTTGGTTGGTTTGATGGCTTTTTTTAATTTTAGGGGGCAGTGTGTCATGTAGCCCAGGATGGCCCTAAGTTTGTTATGTAGGGTGACCCTGACCTGGTTTGTGCAGCACTGGGGACCAAACCCAGGGCCTCAAGCATGCCAGGAGCGCACTCTGCAAACTATCAGCCACACGGTTCCGGAGAACCAGACGTCCAGCATACGTCTTGTGATTCAGCGCTGGCTGAAGGGCAGAGACGAGAGAGGGGGCGGGCGTGCAGGCTCAAGTCCCTTGGCACGCTACAGGAATCCATCCACCACAGCCCGGGTGAAGGTGTGCCACCTGGGCATGTCCCATCTGTCCCCAACTCCCTGCACTGCTGCACTTGGGATCAGGTTTCCAGCAACTGTATTTTAGGGGACACCTTCAACCCATAGTGCTCATGAGGAACCTCTCCCTACTTTCCCTGCTTACTTCCAAATCGAGAGAAAACAACAAAGGCAGAACTCGGCATTGAAACTCAGGGCCCCACTTGCCAACACTGCAGACCCTGGCTCACGCTGAAGGCACACATTGCCGGCCCAGCCCTGCCACAAACCTGCTGTGTGGCCCCATAAGCCTCAGGGCCAGAAGGAGCATCATGCTGTCAGGGGCCCATCTGTCACGGCTCACAGTGTAGATGGCTTCTCTCCCTGAAGGGCTGGACCATCTCATGAGCCAGCCAACAAAAGACAAACACCCCGGGAAATAAGCAAGCTCTCCGGAGAGGGAAAATGGGTCCCTGGAAATTAAACCATGAAGCCAACTTTATGTTCACTAATACTTGAAGGAATGAGAATTTAGAAGAATAACTGAAGCCCTGACTCAGTCACTCACCTGGCAAAGACAAGTTGGCCTTGTTGTGCCTAGGAAAGAGTGTGAAATACACCCTTGCTTGCTCAGGTATGAAGGGAGGAGCCCTGCTTCAGTGGCCACACTGAGGTCCTGGCGGCATCAGCAGGAGACATTTACCTCCTTGCAGGACAGTCAGGACTATGTCCTCCCAGTGACGGGCGGGGCGGGAACCAGGCAGACAGGGAGAACAGAAGAAAACGACATCACAGGTGAAAAGCTCCCACACTATGCTGACTGACAGCAGTGACCCCATGGTCCAGTCCGGTCCCAGGAGCTCAACAAAGGTGAAGGAAGCCCAGATACAGGAGAAAATGGCAGCAGGCTCTGTGCAGGCGCGCCACTGAAACACGAAGCAAAGAAACCTCCAGCAGCCAGAGGAAGCGTTAGACTGTGTTTGAGAGGGGCTGGAATGGACCGAAGGTACCCCAAACCAGCTCCAGCCTTGCGTTCTCCTCCCTGGGAAGGAGGGAGGCCCTCCAGAAGCCAGGCTGTGCTGTAGTGCCGCGGGACTGCCCGCGTTTTATTTTAGGGTGTTCTCTTCTCTCATGCAGCTTTCCGTGGAGACCCATCACCATTTGAACAGGCAGTGTTCTGTGCCGTTACACACATCTATCTGTCTGCCTGTCTATCCATTTCAAAATCGTTTTCTTACTCCTTAAAAGATTTATTTCTGTTTTTACGAGTATGTGTGGTTTGGTCTGGTTTTGAGACAGGGTCTTACTGTGAAGCCATGGCTGCCCTGGAACTCACTCTGTAGACCTGGATGGCCTCAGACTAGTGGAAACCTGCCTGTTTCTTCCTCTTGTGTGTGTGTGTGTGTGTGTGTGTGTGTGTGTGTGTGTGCACCACGTGCATTCCTGGTACCACAGAAGGTGAGAAAAGTGTTTGGGTCCCCTGGACCTGGAGTAACAGACAGTCGCGAGCTGCCATGTTGGTACCGATAACCACAGCCAGGTCCTCTGCAGGAGCAGCCAGTGCTCTTAACCTGGGATGATTTTTATGGTGGTTATTTCTATTGATACATTTTTTTATAACCACTGGCATTTACTTATTTGTTTTTGCACTGCAGGGGGTGGGGGTTGGAACCCAGGGCTATAAAACCTGCTGGACAAGTGCTTACCATTAAGCTAGCCCGCAGCCTGAGCAGACAACCGTTGACTGAAGGGAATCATCCCAGCTTCACCCAGTCCCCTGTGAGTGTTAAGGGAGCCCATTGGAACTGTGCCGGAGAGGCAGCCCCATCCACCCACCCCACCCCTGCAGCTGCACCGCCATGGGTCAGCCTGCCTGCTGTGCTGGGGAGGGGGGAGCTCACTCTTAAGAGACCTGTGAGAGGGCCTCGCCCAGCACCAGTCTCTAAACGGTGGTGGCGCTAGGAGGCAGGCGTGTGACTTGTGGGAATGGAATGCGCGTATATAAATATATATACTTTTCTGAGACACGGTCGGACTGTGCTGTTCTGGCTGGCCTAGAACTCGTGACCAGCCTCTGCTCCCTGAGTGCTGGGAATGTAGACCTGCACCGCCACCGCGTCTGACTACTTCATGTATTCTTGCTCCTTTTCGTCCTCTGATTATATTAGAAGCCCCTCTGCAGCAGAGGGGGCTGGGAAACAGCTCTTTGTGTTGAAGCTTGAGGATCTGAGTCTGGACGCCAGGCGCCCACCTGCGAGGCTGGGCAGAGTGCTATCCACTTGTAATTGTAGTGCTGGGAGGGCTGGCTCGCCACCCTGCCCAATCAGGCAGCTCCAGATGCTGTGAGAGGTCTTGTTCAACAGTAAGGTAGGGACTGGAGAGACAGCTGAGCAGTTAAGAGCACTGGCTGCTCTTGCAGAGGACCTGGGTTCAATTCCCAGCACCCACACGGCAGCTCACAACCATCTGTGAATCCGGTTCTAGGAGATCTGGTGCTGTCTTCATGCCTAGGAGGGCACCAAGCATGTATGTGGTACACACAGAGAGGGAGAGAGGCAGAGAGAGAGAGAGAGAGAGAGAGAGACGGAGACAGAGAGGCAGAAGAAGAAAATTAAAAACAAATAAGGTAGAGAGTGATGGGGGAGACAGCTGGCCTCTATCTCTCTAGTTCCTACACAGGTGAACACATGGATTCACACACACACACACACTCACACACTCACACACTCACACACACACACACACACACACACACACACACACGGAGTCCGCGGTGCAGATGTGGAGGCATATGCCTATAATGCTAGCACTGGGAAGGTGGTGGAGGCAGGAGGGACCAGTAATTTGAGGCCAGCCTGGGATATAGAAGAGACTCTATCTCACAAATGAAAAGAAAAGTCTGTCTACATTGAGGTAACCTGGTCTACATGGCCAGTTCCAGGCAGCCAGGGATACAAGAGTCTCCGCAAACAAAGGTACAGTGTAGAGTGCTGTCCCAAAAGGTCCCACGCCCTAGGACAGCGCAGGGGTAGTGCGTGACCGCCGCCTCCTCCACAGTGGCGGCCCTGCAGATCGAGATGGAGAACCTGGCTCTGCACGTCTTCTACATGCAGAACATAGACCAGGATGTGCGTGATGACATCCGCGTGATGAAGCAGGTGGTGAACAAGACCGAGACAGAGAAGATGCGTGCTGAGATAGAGAAGAAAAAGCAGGTAACCCTGTAAGCGGTGCGTAGCTCACCACCACGGAACCCACGCCGGTCCACAGGAAGTGCTCAGTCAGGCCACGCTGGCGGCCACGCTGGCGGGGGGGGGGGGGGGTGTGCCCTCGGCTGGGGACAGCTCCTTATGGCTCCTCTGTTTTTGTCAGGATCTCTTCGTGGACCAGCTCACCGAAAGGGCCCACCAGCTGGAAGAAACCATCTCCCTGTTTGAGGCTCAGTACGTGTCCCAGGCTGAGGACACTCGGATTCTACGGAAAGCAGTGAGCGAGGTAAGAGTACCCCCAAAGCCAGTGGGCACAGAAGCCCCCTTGTCACCTATCCCTGGCCTGGCAGTCAGCCCAATCAACGCGGAAATGTGGCAGATTGTTAATGGGCTGAGGATGGGGTTGTGTGTTCAGTGCTGCTAGGAGCCTCAGCGACTGGCTTTTGGAGAAACCCATACCAACTACTAAAATAAATCCCGCATGGAATCAGACATTTAAAGAGGGGGCACACTGGAGATGTGGCTCAATGGTTAGGAATGCTGGCTGATCTCCCAGAAGAAACTGGGTCCAATTCCCAGAACCCAGACGGTGGCCCACGACCATCTATTAACTCTAATCCCAGGGAATCTAGTGCCCTCTCCTGGCCTCTTCCGACACCAGGCATACAGGTCATGCATAGACATGCAGGCAGGCAAAGCACCCATACACACAAAATTAATATTGAGAATAAAGCCAGATGGTGGTGGCGCACACCTTTAATCCCAGCACTTGGGAAGCAGAGGCAGGGGAATCTCTATGAGTTCAAAGCCAGCCTGGTTTACAGAGTGAGCTCCAGGACAGCCAGGGCTACAGAGGAACCCTGTCTCAGCAAAACCAAAAGCCAAACAAATGAACAGACCCTATAAATGGTGGTGGGTGGGTGCTGAGGAGGAGTTACCAGAAGAAGCAGGGGGAAAAAAATCATTGTGCCTAGTCCAGGGCTGAAGGGGTCTTTTTAGTCTTTACCCCAAGCAGAGTCTGAAGGCTGGGTGTGTGGAGCTCAGTTGGCAGAATGTTTGCCTAGCATGTACAAGGCATGGGTTTTGTCCCCGTTCATAAGCCCAGCATGGTGATGCATGCATGCCTGTCATTCCAACACTTGGAAGACAGGGGCAGACAGGGGCAGGGCTATCAGAGGCTGAAGATCGCCCTCAGCCACATAGAAACCTGGCTACCTGAGCCCCCATCTCAAAATAAAAACACAGAGTCCCTAAAGAGAAGGGTCAGGGGCCACTCCCAACGCAGCCACCAACAGAAGGAAGAAAGGGCGAGGCCCACTTACCGCCCCTGATAAACGGGGATGGTGCAGCCTTGCGGGTTACAGAGAGAAGAGGCCCTTGGCTCCTGGTCCAGTACAAGAACAAGGGCCACATGTGAAGCTGCCCCGCTTGCTGGCAGAGTCCGAGCGGGGCACGGGAGTCCGAGCGGGGCACGGGAGTGTGAGCGCGGGCTCCTACAGAGTGCAGCCCAGAGGGTGCAGACCAGCATTGAATAACTGGGCACCTCCCGGAGGCCCCACCTGGCTCTCCCTCCTTCTGTCGGGTGGAATGTGTTCCAAGGAGGGCTTGGCAGGACAGGCTTGCCCAGAGTGCAGCGGGTTTGTGACAAGGTCCACAGGCCAGAGAGTCCCTGTGGCTGTGCTCCAAGTGGCAGGGGTGTCTTCTGCTGTCTCTCCTTCTATGGATGGCCATGCTTAATCCACGCCTGGTGTGGCCCCTCCTCCAGACCCTTCCCTTTTCGGATTTAGCTCTTTTTCTTTGAGACAAGGTTTCATGTGCCTTGGTCGGCCTCAGACTTGCCCTGGAGCTGAAGATGACCCCGGACTCCTGACTAACGCCCATCGGGGTTCCTTCCTTCCTTTGTTCTATTGGCTGGCACCCTTTGCCTTTGCCCTCAGTGAAGTCTCCGGGGTCTGCTCAGTTCTCCTTCCCAGCATTCAGACATCGTCAGGCCCACAGCCACACACACACAGCCACTGCTGGGGTGAACCGGTGAGGTGGCTGAGAGGTGGCTCTAGGCAGGTTCCTGCCAAGGGGGATCCAGGAGGGTGCCTGGTCGGCCTTGTGGCTGTCGGTGTCTCAATCCAGACCACGCACAGGCCATTTGACCTTCATTCTAAGGTTGTGGGTACAGAGACGTGCACAGTGTGTGTGTGTGTGTGTGTGTGTGTGTGTGTTTTAAAAAGTGCCAGACTGCCAGGTGGTGATGGCCCACCACAAGCACTCAGGAGGCAGAGGCAGGCAGATCTCTGTGAGTTCCAGGCCAGCCCGGTCTACAGAGCGAGTTCCAGGACAGGCTCCAAGGCTACACAGAGAAACATTGTCTGGGGGTGGGGTGGGGGGGGAATGCCAGGCTGTGGCTAGGAGAGATAGCTGAGTCAATAAAATGGCAAGCCATTGGAGCATGAGGACTTGAATTCCATCCCCAGCACTGGTACAAAAGCCCGGCCCTGGAGGGGCCACAGTTGCAGCACTGGGGAGACAGAAACGTGAAGGTCCCTGAGGTTCTCTGGTTCCAGGCCAGCGAGACGCGCTGACTCAGGAAGAGGTGGACGGTCCCTGAGGAACGACACCTCAGGCCGGCCTCTGGCCTCCACAGGAATGAGCCCTCTCCTGTCCCCCACCCAACCCCCCGCCCCACAGCCTAGCTCTGCGTCCTGGTCCCCAGCACGGGGTGGGGCGGCCTGCTTATCCTAGCCAGGTGCCCTCCCGGGGGCCCTGGTCATTCTTGACTCAAATACGTCCCTCCCTGGGCAAGAACTGAGGAGGGGCAGGGGCGTGACCCCAGCCCCATCTATGACCACCCACTCCACGAGGCCCTGTCTTGGCACTGCTGTGGAGGGAAATAGTTGATGGCCCCCAGCACTGAGCCCTAAAAACTGCCTGGAGACTCTCTACTTGCTGGTGCCCGTCTGCTGATTTGTGGTCAGGGACAATTGAGGTGCCAGGCGTGGTCGTGAACACCTTTAATCTCAGCGGAGACAGGTGGATCTCTGCGTCCGAGCCCAGGCTGCTATGCACATGGAGAGAGTTCCAGGACAGCCAGGGTGTTACACAGGTCAACCCTGCCCCGAGAAACAGACAAAAAAGAAAAAAAAGAAAGAACAAGAAAAGGTCACGGTGGAGGGGAGGCAGGCTGCAGAAGGTGGCTCCCACCGCCATTTCCCACTGTCTCTGTGTCCCACCCTGTCTGCAGGCCACCACAGAGATTGACATCATTGCGTTGGAGAAGAAACGCATCCTACAGCAGTGGACCACCAGCCTAGTGGGCATGAAGCACCGTAACGAGGCGTACAGGACCGTGCTGGATGCGCTCAGGTACCACCCCCAGAAGGGGCTGCCCGTGGACCGGCCCGTGGGCGGGTGTGGAGCCCACCCCCACCCTTCACTGCCTGCAGGGCTCCAGGAAGGATGTCGTTTATGTGTGGGAGACAAAGGTGTCCTTTTGACAACAATTTCACCATCTGAGCAGAAAACCCCAGTCCTTCCCCCAGCTATTCTGGATTGTTCTGCCCTAGGGCCCCGTCCCAGCCAAAACCCTGTTTTCATCCCCCCCCCTCTCTCTCTCACACACACACACAGAGGAATAAAAATAATTTTTAATTTTTTAAAGAAATTATAAAGACCAGGTGGTGATGGCGCACACCTTTGAATCCAGCACTCGGGAGGCAGAGGCAGGCAGATCTCTGTGAGTCTGAAGCCAGCCTGGTTCCAGGATGGCCAGGGCTACACAAGTAAAGATCAGAGGTGCATCTTAGTGTAGATGGCCTACCTGGTACATGCAAAGCCTGGGTTCTATTCCCTGCACTGGGGACAAACAGGCTGAGGTATATATGACTGCTCACTTAAAAGCAAACAAAGACATAAGACATCTTTATGAGGATAATACTGGATTTAGATTATCCATTTCTTCCGGCTATATAGGCTGAGCCTGGGCCTGTCTTGACTGCTAGGTGCCAGGCAGCTTTTCCTTCTCATGCTCAAGCCAGAACTTCCAAAGAACACACAAAGAGGACTGTGACAGCTACACACCGCAGTGGCACCTCAAAGTCCAGGCACCTTGTGTATTCTTACCTGTTAGGGTCACTCTAGTTAAATTGTGGGAAAAATAAGTGTCTTGTATTTTATGGTTTTGCTTGCCTGTTTTTGAGATAGTCCCCCTCTGTAGCCAAGGCTTTCCTGGAACTAGCTCTGTAGGCCAGGCTGGCCTCGAACTCATAACGATCCACCTGCCTCTGCCTCCCTAGTATTGGGGTTAAAGGTGTGTGCTACCATGCCCTGCGTTTTAAAATATGCACTCACAGAGTTTCCAGTGGAGATTTTAGCAACACATGCGCACACTTGCCCATGCAACCAGTAAATGGGCCTCTGCCTCTGGCTGTAACTGACATCAAAGGCCCCAGGAGCAGAAGGTCATATTCCGAGAGGGTCACTTGGCCCTAGGAATTTAAGGCCTACCTGGGTGTCATACTGAGAGTCTGTCTCCAAAAATGACACCAACAAATGAGACTGTGTGGGCCTGCCTGGCAGGACACTGGCTGCTCGCTGTGGCTGCAGTGGAGCTGGGTGTACATCCAGAAGATCTAAAGGCAGTCTGGCCAGGCCTGGTGGTGAGTTCAAAGTCAGCCTGGTCTACACGTAGCTCCAGACCAGCCAGGGCTACGTAATGGGGCTCTTAAAATTCTTGTTTTAAATAAGAAAGGTAAGATACTGCCAGCAGACTTCTCAGGATGAAAGGGTAGGAATGTTCACACACACACACACACACACACACACACACACACACACAGAATTTCTGTTAATCCAGGATTTGTGTGTTGGGGGAATTGCTTGTTTTGTGGCCTCTGGTATGGAGTCCAGCACATCATGCATGCTAGGCAAGTGCCCTACAACTACTTATAGTACCTATCATCTACCTATCATGTATCTATCTATCTATCTATCTATCTATCTATCTATCATATATGGGTCTTTCGCCTACATGTATGTCTGTACAATACATATGTGTGCAGTGTATACAAAGGCCAGAAGACATCTGGTCCCTTAGAACTGGAGTTATGGATGGTTATGAGCCACTACATGAGTGCTGGGAATTGGACCTGGGTCCTCTGGAAGGGCAGCTGGTTCTCTCGGCCACTGAGCCCACCTCTCCAGCTAAGGTGCACATTTAAAACCCCAGGACTCAGGAGATGGAGGAGGCAGGAAGATCCTTAGGGTTCCCTGGCCAACCAGCTTAGCCATATCACCAAGATCCAGGTTCAGTGAAAGACCCTGCCTCAAAAACTAAGGTAGGGCCAGCAAGATGGCTCAGATGGTAAAAGGCACCCGCTACCCCCAAGTTCAGTCCTCAAGACCCGCGTAATTGATGGCAAGAACTGAGCCAGCCCCAAAGACTGTTTTCTGACCTGCATACGTGCTCTGTGGCATGCATACCTGACTCTACACAAAACGTCACTAATTTTTAATTAAAAATGTAAGCCAGTTGTAGTGGCAAATGCTGTTTGGATGTGTTAGAGCCAGAAGCAGAAGGATCACAAGGTTGAGACCAGCCTAGGGCACACATTTAGGCCACAGATATGGCTCAGTGGGAAAAAGACACAAGTTGTCCTCTGACCCCACACACGTGTCAGGCATCACATACGTGCATGGACACATACACAACAAATAAGTAATGCACCAAAAAAAAGTAGGGTGGGGAGGGCCTGCGGAAGACACCCACACGCGTACACAGACACACTGGACTAGCTGGGTTTTGTCGGTTTCACACCCGAGAGCCACAGCTGAGGTTTTGCCTCCATCAGACTGGCTCCTGGGCCGTCGCTTCTTGATTAACGACTGGTGTGCGTGGGCCTAACCCACTGCAGACCTTGCCACGCCTGCACAGGCGGTCCTGGGTCATGTAAGAAGGAAAGCTGAGCAAGCCAGGGAGCAGCTTTCCTTCCCGTCCTCTGCTCCGGTTCCTGCCTCCAGCTTCCCATCTTGAGTTCCCTCGATGGCGGACTGTAACATGTGAGGCGAACAAACCCTCTCCTCCTCCCCAACGTGCTTTTGGTCAGCGTTTTACCACAGCGACAGAAAAGCAAACTAGAAGTCGCACATCCAAAAAGATAAATAGCAGTTACAAATTGGTGTCCCCACATCATTCCTCCGTGTATGGAATCCCTCTCCCTCCCGTGTCTAGCCCGTGATGGGCTTTGCTCTTCTGGTTTTGCAGGGAGTGTGAGCATCAGGTCAAGTCCATAGACGGTGAGATCGAGGCCTACAAGAGGTCCATCATGAAGGAGGAAGAGAAGAATGAGAAGCTGGCCCGCCTCCTGAACCGCTCAGAGACTGAAGCCATGTTAATACAGAAAATGACCACCCAGTGCTTAAACAAGCAAGAGGTTCTGCAGAGCGAGTTCAACACCTACCAGCTCGCCCTGCAGGACACGGAGGAAATGCTCAACAAAAGCTACCTGGTGAGGCTAGGCACGGCCCCCAACCCCAGGCCTCTGCTCTCAGCCAGCCCATAGGAGGACACCCCAAGCATGGCTCTTCCTCTGCAGGAACAGTCAGGGGTCATGAACGAACTCCAGGTTGCCCGCCAGGCTGTCCATCAAGAGCAGGAGCTACGGCACAAGATGGACGCCTCCATCCTGGACAAGCTGCAGGAACACGGGACCTCCAGCAAGATGACCATGTACTTTCAACAGCTCCTTCGGAAGCTGCAGAAGGAAAATACCAACCTGGTAGGTGGTCCCCAGCTGACTGGGCAGGGGCTGGGCTGGGCTGCAGCCAGAGTCATGTGACAAAGGGTATCTGGGGCAATCCCTCACGACCTTGTTTCTAGCTGTCAAAGTAGTAATTTCTATAATTTACTTATTTATTTAATTTTTTTTTTTTTTTTTTTTTTTTTTTTTTTTTTTTGAGGCAGGGTCTCCCTATGTGGTCCTGGTTGTCCTGGAACTTGGTATGTAGACCAGGCTGGCCTTGAAACTCAGAGAGGTCTGCCTGTCTCTGCCTCCCAAGTGCCAGAATCAAAGATGTGGGCCACCACACCCAACCCTATAATTTAATTGACTTAGCTTCTATAGTGCTAGAGGTTGAACCTAGGGTCCTGCACATGCCAGGCAAGCACCACACCCTTAAAAGACCCTTAGTGCTCTGCATCCTCCTTCTTTGAAACAGGATCTCATGTAGCTCCAGCTAGCCTCAAACTTACTACTAGTGTGTGTGTGTGTATGTATAGCGAGATGTGTGTGTATAGAGAGATGCGTGTACGTGTATGTATAGAGATGTGTATGTGTGTGTGTAGAGAGATGTGTGTGTATAGAGAGATGTGTGTGTATGTATAGAGAGATGTGTGTGAGTGTGTGTGTGTAGTGTGTGTGTGTGTGTGTGTGTGTGCGTGCGTCCCTACATTTCTGACCCTCTGCCTCTACCCTGTAATCTAAGTGTTAGGGTTAGCGGCCCGGGCCGCCCTGCCCAGGTTATTAGGCCCTGGTGATGGCACGCAGGACTCTGAGCCGTGGGACGCATCCTGTCCCAGTTCCCCAAGCCCTCTTCTAATGTTGAAACAGGGTCTCACTAGTTGCCTATGCTGGCCTGAACTTACTCTGTAGACCAGGCTAGGCTCAAACTTGTGATTGTCATGCCCAACTTAGCCTCTTGAGCAGCTGGGATGACTGATCCAGCTAATACTTTCTTGTTGTTGAAAACCTGGAGAGTTTGTCTAGCAGGCGTGAGACCCTGCAGTTCCCCCATCCAAGAAACCACTCCTAGATTTCTTCCCTTCTGCACGCACACAGGCACACACGCGCACACAGGCACACACGCGCACATGCGCACACGGACACACCCTCATGCACTCTTGTTTAGCATCTGGTTTTGGGTTCACTTGGTTACTTTGTGTCAGTTTCAGTGACCTGTGTCACAGAGAGAAAGGTGCACGGCCATTGTTTGGAACTCACTGGATTTTTCTGCTTTTCGTTTTAACACATTTGCCCTTGCTGTTATGCATTCTTGGACAACGTAAACCTTCATTTCTGCATGACGTTCGCCGCGAGAGCGTCCCGCCATGACTGACCGGTCTCTTGTTAGAGGCTCCAGGCTGACTCGGGTTTTTCAGTGCAGTTTTGTGCAGATGCTGGGGTCTGCAAATGTCTACACTCTAAGGACAAGCTGCTAAGCCACCAGTCCTGAGCAGAAGCCGCCACCCAGGAGGCTGGCTTGCCCAGGAGTGTTGCCTGTGACCTCAAAAGCCTGGGGGCACCGCACACCTGAAAATTCACTCAAGGGCTTTGGTTTTTCCTCAGCTACGTGGGAGCCTGCCTTTGGAAAAGCAACTCACTGCTTGAATGTTGCTCTCCCTTCCTTCCTTCCTTCCTTCCTTCCTTCCTTCCTTCCTTCCTTCCTCCTTGGTTCTTGAGACTGCATCATTCTGTAGCTGAGACTGTCCCGGGATTCACTATGTGGTACATGCCGGCCGGCATCAAACCCGTGGCTATCTGCATGCCTCTGCTTCTCAAATGCTGGAATTATTCGTGATTTCCCACCCCCCCACCCCCAGCCTTCCCCCCTCTCCACTCAATTTTCTCTTTGCTTCTTCATATGGTAGGATAGATCTCTGACTTTGATGACTGAGGACCGCGATCATAGGGGTCCACCTAGGGTCAGACAGGGCTGTCTCTGCAGTCAGCACCCGAACCCAGCTCCCTTGAGAACCTCGTCCTCCATCTGCCTAGCTCCATGTGCCCAGCCTCTGACCCTGTGGGCTCAGCTGTCTCTCCTGTCACCTGCCCCTTCCTTTCACGGTAGCTTCTTGTCAGGAGTAGGCATGGTTGCTTGTCACCTGGCCCCCTGACCCCACAGGGGTCTCGTTGGAATGTTCAGGCCGGCGTAGCTCAGGTCCTTCCCCTGGGAGCAGGGCAGGCAAAGGGAGAAGGTGTCCCAGGAGCGTGGTGAGTGTGAGTAGCCCGCCTGGCCCCGCGGTTACACAGGCTGGACTTGTCCCCTGAGGTCTCCTGGTTGCCAGGTCCCCCACCCTGCCCCTTCCTAGATTGGGCATGGACGATCACCGCCTCTTCCCAGCAGAGGGCAGTAAAGAGTCTCAGGCTAACAACTTTATCGCTGTGGTTTCCCAGCTGAAGTGGAACCTTTGGAAGTGGACTCTGGGTGCTCAAATGCCCTGTGCACCCACCGGTGACGGCTGGGGTGGGGAGAGGATCAGAGAGGGTGGTGGGGCTGCCGCAGGGGTAAGGGGGTCAGGTGTCGGTGCAGGGTCTCCTTATAAACGCAGGCAGAGCCGAGGTCCCTGGGTTCCGGGAGACCAGGGTGCTTCCCACTGGTTACCGATGGCAGTGGCAGAGGCAGCATATTCAGCCCGTTCGCCACCATGTGAGAGGAAGAAACGTCCTGCTGCACATCCCACGACCATTAAAAACTGCATGAGAGAGGCTAAAGGTGACAACACGCGCCTTTAATCTCAGCGTCTGGGGGCAGAGGCCACCTAGCACTACACAGTGAGACCTTTTTTTTTTTTTAAAAAAAATTTTAATGACATAAAAATATGAGATGGGGGGTGCTGGAGAGATGGCTCAGAGGTTAAGGGCACTAGCTGGCTGCTCTTCCAGAGGTCCTGAGTTCAATTCCCAGCAACCACATGGTGGCTCACAGCCATCTGTAATGAGACCTGGTGCCTCCTTCTGGTGTGCAGGTGTACATGCAGACAGAACACTGTATGCATAATAAATAAATCTTTATGGAAAAAAAATGAGACAGTATCTGCCAGACTGAAGAGATCAGTGGCATGTGGCCCCAACCCTGCTCTCCCTAATGGGTATGGGACGGTGGGCAGCATGGGAGGGAGTACATAACACTGGAATAAGGCTTCCAGGTGGCTGCCTTGACCTCCCAAGTGCTAGCATTAAAGACATGAGCCAGCCAGGAGGCAGAGGCAGAGGCAGGCGGATCTCTGTTTGAGGCCAGCCTGATCTACAGAGAGAGTTCCAAGACAGCGAGGGCTACACAAAGAAACCCTGTCTCAAAGGAAAAAAGAAAGAAAAGGAAAAAAGAAAGACATGGACCAGTCCCCACTCCTTGAGAGAGAGAGAGTACGTCTTGTAGCTCACACTGACTTACTGTGTAGCCCTAACTGCCCTTGAACTCAAGATCCTCCCACCCAAGCCTCCCGTGTGCCAGGATCATGGGCAGGCGCCACCACACCCAGCATTCTTTTTTTTTTTTGCAGGCCGTCTCCATGTGTAAACGAATCCCTTGTAGGTTCTCTAGAAATGGGGCGGGTTAGCTTCCTCATGAGGGCATGCAGCGATGGCTCCAGAACACACGTAGGAAACAGCAGTCCGGCCAATTCAAGTGGCAGGAAGTGCTCACACCTACTGCCCTCCATGCCCTCAGGTGACACATCTTTCAAAAATTGACGGCGACATCGCTCAGGCTACCCTGGACATCACCAACACCAGCTGCAAGGTAGACATGCATAAGAAGACGCTGGTGGAGCTGGACAAGGACGTGAAGCGGCTCAATGACCTCATCACCAACAGCGAGAGCGAGATCGTCCGCCGAACCATCCTCATCGAGAGGAAGCAGAGCCTCATCAACTTCTTCAACAAGCAGCTGGAGCAGATGGTGTCCGTGCTGGGGGTGAGGCGCCACCCTGGGCTCTGCACCACGTGCCTTGGGGCTCCCAGACAGCAGACACCCCTCCTGCCTGCCCCCATCCCACTGGGCTGGGCTGGGCTGGGCGACCAGGTTGCTCCCCACCTCTGTAACCGGGGCCTGAATTTCATTCACATCGTTCGCATCTGGCATGAGCCTCCTTTTGATTTTGTTGTCCGGGTATGGCCCAGGTGGACCTAGACCCTGAGGCTGTGAAGCCTCGGCTTCCGGGGGCTGTGTGCGCGCACCTGGCTTCTTTTATTCTCTTCGTGGCTTGTGAGCCACACAGACACACAAACACACACACACGCACGCACGCACACATACACATGCACACACTCAAACACACTCAGATACACTTACACATACACACACATACATACACATACACACACTCACACATACACACTCACACACACTCATGCATACATTCACACATACACACCACACACTCACACATATACACACCACACACATACACACACTCACACTTTCACACATACATACATTCACACATACACACCACACACTCACACAAACACACACTCACACATACACACACACTCACACACACGCACGTACACATACACACACATACACACGCACACACTCAAACACACATACTCACACACATACACACTCACACATACACACACTCATACATACATTCACACATACACACCACACACTCACATACATGCTCACACACATACACACACTCACACATACACACCACACACTCACACACACGCTCACACACATACACACATACACACCACACACACACACACACACTCACATGCACATCTATATACACCACTCATAAACAATAAGGAAAGCAAACCTGTGGATCCCATTGCTCACACTGCACTGTGATTAAATCCCTCCAGGGGGAGGAAGTTGGACCCCTGGAACTGGAGATCAAAAGGCTGTCGAAGCTGTCTGAAGAGCAGAACTCGGGAGTGGCTGAGGCACAGATGACCTGGCTGCGTCTGCAGCAGGAACTGGTCCAGGTCACACATGAGCGCGAAGAGCAGCTGGTCTCCCTGGACCAACTCAAGAAGGAGATGCACATCATGGAGCAAAAGAAAATTCGCATAGAGAGTGAGCCCTGGGGGACGCCCTGGGGAGGGGGGCTGCGCGGCGCTCGGCTCCCTCCCAGCCACATCAATCCCAGGCCAGGTGCCACATGCCTGTAATCCCAGCACTCAGGGCCCTGAGGCTGTAAGTCTGAGGCTAGCCTGGGCTACACAGTAAGACCCTGTTTCAAAACGGAAACAAAGCAAACCAGGAAAATTGTAAAGCCACCTAGTTTGTGGGTGCAGCGCGGAGGTCTGGGGCTGCTGTGTCTGCCCACTCCCCAGCAATGCCACTGCACCCTCTCACAGCCGTCTACCAGAGAGTGTGGGGAAGGCAAGGCTGCCTGGCACCAGCAGGGAATAGTGTGGGGACCCAGAGCTGGCAAAGCCTCCCTCCCGCAGCCTCCCCACCCTGGCGCGGATGACATCAGCTGGGGCAAAGAGAGGCACATCCAGAGACCTAGCCCTGAGCCAGCCAAGGGCATTGGTGCGGGGAGAGCAGAGAACCCAACAGAAGTGAGCCGGCCCTGTACCCCGGTGCCCTTTTCCCCATCAAAATGTCAACAGCTTTTGTCTTTATGCTTCCCAACCTGCCCTAAGGCCAGGAGGCAAAGGGCCTGCCGGCCTTCCCTAGATACCCACAGCACCTTAGCTCCACCTGCCCCTGCTTTCCTCCCCCGCCCACCCCTGCTCTCCGCCCCACCCGCCCCTGCTCTCCTCCCCCTCCCCTGCTCTCCTCCCCCTCCCCTGCTCTCCGCCCCACCCGCCCCTGCTCTCCTCCCCCTCCCCTGCTCTCCTCCCCCTCCCCTGCTCTCCGCCCCACCCACCCCTGCTCTCCTCCCCCTCCCCTGCTCTCCGCCCCACCCACCCCTGCTCTCCTCCCCCTCCCCTGCTCTCCGCCCCACCCGCCCCTGCTCTCCTCCCCCTCCCCTGCTCTCCTCCCCACCCACCCCTGCTCTCCTCCCCCTCCCCTGCTCTCCTCCCCACCCGCCCCTCCTCTCCTCCCCCCCACCCGCCCCTCCTCTCCGCCCCACCCGCCCCTGCTCTCCGCCCCACCCGCCCCTCCCTCTCCGCCCCACCCGCCCCTCCTCTCCACCCCACCCGCTCCTGCTCTCCTCCCCCACCCCTGCTCTCCACCCCACCCGCCCCTGCTCTGCCCCTGTGCTTCTGTAGCACAGGGTACTTGCAGGTCCCTCCAGGGGCCAGGCTTTGGGAAGGGGAGTCCAGGAAGGGACCCAGCCTCCTCTCCACGGAGGGGCACATGACAGGGCAGGAACGGAGCCACAGGAGGGCATGGCTGCTGCCTGCCTAGGACCCCTGGCCCTCCAGCATCACCCCCCCCCCGCCCCCGCCTGTCCTCCCGCAGACAAGATTGAGCAAGAGAAGAAAGACCAGAAGGAGATTCGCCGCCACATGAAGGACCTGGGCAATGACCTGACCAAGCTCAACATGCTGCTGGGCAAGAACCGGACCGAGTCGGAGCAGCTGCAGCAGAGCAGCCTGCTGGCTGAGACAGAGTTCGTGCGCACCCTGAAGGTTGGCACCGCCCTCAGCCGCCGAGCCTGGAGGGGTTTGGGGAGGGGTCGGAGTGTTGGTCTGCGGCCTTGCCAGTCCTGCGGGGCTCCAGGGGCCGCCACCATGAACCTCCCCCCCACCCCCACGCAGGATGCAGAGCGAGAGACCATCCAGATGCAGGAAAAGCTGGTGCAGCTCCAAGAGGAAAAGGCCACCCTCCTCAACAGCCTAGTGGAGGCCGAGTGAGTAGGATAAAGTTATAAAGTGTATCTTATTTTTATGCAAAAGGTAATAATATATAAACCCCGACCCCAAGCATTTTTCTCTATTGACAAAGTATTGAGGTATAGCAAAGAAAACAAAATGGAGAGATGGCTTGCCGTGCAAGCAGGAGGACCTGAGTTCAAATCTCCAGCACCCATGTAAAAATCCAGGCATGGCCAAGTGTGCCCAGCATGATGGAGCTTGGTCCAGTTCTAGACTCAGTGAGACACTATCTCCTGAGACTACATGGAGAGTAACAGAGCAGGAAACCTCTGGCTTCTGTATGTGTACACAGACGCACACCACCCCCATACACACGTTAAACTATCAGAAAAGGGAAACATGTAATATCACCTCTGCTCCGTGTGTGTGCGTGTGTGTGCGCGTGTGTGTGCGTGCGCGCGCGTGCCGGGGATGGAATTTAGGACTTTGCACATGCCGGGCAAGTGCTCTACCACTGAGCTCTACCCCCCGCCCTCAACACTCAAAAGTATAGATACACTTTTTTATTGTTTGTAGCAAAACCACTCCCTTTGAGGCAAGTGTGTCTTAGCCCACACAGACACACACCTCTCCCATGGAAACAGTTTCTAGGCCCCATGAAGGTGCCCTTTGGTTGACAGGAATGCTCTAGGAGGGGTAATGTGTTTATTGCCATTTGACAATATCTGTGCATTAACACACACACAAACACATTTGACAAGATCTGCAAACTAACACACACACACACACACACACACACACATACATCTGACAAGATCTGTGCATTAATTAACACATGCACACACACACAGTGGCTTTGGAGCTTGTGTTTTTGGTTATATTCGGACAGTTTTCTGCTGTAGAGCTATTTGGCCTTTTACTTCCTTATCCGACTTTTCCAATCACATGAACACTCTCGGTTCCTAAGTTATAATTCCCCGCTGCCTCCCTCTCTGTCTGTCTGTCTGTCTCTCTCTCTCCCTTCCTCTCTCTCTGCCTCTCTCCCTTTCTCTCTTTCTTCCCCCCTCTCCCTCTCTCTCCTCTCTCTGTCTCTCTCTGTCTCTGTCTGTCTGTCTGTCTGTCTGTCTGTCTGTCTGTCTCTCTCTCTCTCTCTCTCTCTCTCTCTCTCTCTCTCTCGGGTGCCTCTAAAACTAGAGTTACAGTAAGTAGCAAACCAGCACATGGATGCTGGGGACTGAACTGAGACCCTCAGCGAGAGCCGCCAGTGCTCTTAGCTACTGGGCCATCTCTCCAGACCCAGTCTCTCACGTCTCCATCTTTTAATTCTCCCCTTTTCTCCCCCCTTCTCCTCCCTCTTCTCTCTTTTTCCCCTCTCCTCCCCGCCAGCCCATATGCACAGGTCTGCCTGCCTCAAGACCTGGCAAACCGTTTTGTAAGGAACCCGAGTAAAGATTTCTGGGCTTCATTTGCCTCGCCCATGGGCAGAGAGAGGGGTGGGGTCCCCATCTCAAACTGCTCTGGCTCTGACTCTGCCTCTCCTGCCTCTGAAGACATCAGATCATGCTGTGGGAGAAAAAAATCCAACTGGCAAAGGAGATGCGCACGTCAGTGGATTCTGAGACCGGGCAGACAGAGATCCGTGCCATGAAGGCCGAGATCCACAGGATGAAGGTGAGGGGTCAGGGCTGTGGGCGACAGATGTGCTGCAGGTCGGGAACCACTGAGCCACCCTGTCAGGGGGCAACCGATGAGACTCCTGGGGACTGCGTTCCAGCAAACACGGCTCCAGGCTCTATGTAGGTCATGGCCCACCTCTCACACCAGGGTATGCCTGACTTTATATCTGTACTATGCAGAATAATCCCACAGCAGCCAGGACGTGCGGTCATATGCACAGCACCTCGTAAAATGTTGTGACCCCAAGCAGTCAAGGCCCTGTGGCATTTTGAGACACTGGTTGTAATGCCCAGGTCCCCAGTCCACTAATCTCAGTGTGGAACAAGAAGAAACTGATATGGGCTGGTGAGGTGGTGCACATCTTTAATCCCAGCTGTTTGAGGCCAGCCTGGTGTACACAGCGAGTTCCAGGCTAGCCAGGATGACATAGTGAGACACTGTCTCAAAAAAGAGAGCCCAACACAAAAAAAGGCTCAGGGGCTCCTCACCCCATCCCATCTCTCAGGAGCAGTGGGCTTCACCGGCCTAAGTCATAAATGACCATCATTTTAAGGTTCAAGACCTTAGGGATAAAAATTAGAGCAGTTAGGGGCTGGAGAGATGGCTCCGCGGTTAAGAGCTCTGGCTGCTCCTCCGGAGGAGCTGGGTTTGATTCCCAGCACCCATGTGTCATGTCAGCTCGCAGTTATCTGTACCTCCAGTCCCAGAGACCAGATGTTCTCTCCTGGCCTTCACAGGCACCAGCCAGCCATGTGGTGCACAGACATACAGGCAGGCAAGACACCCATGCACAGAAAGTAAAGTGTTAAATAACAACAAAACAATTACCAGTTAACCACAGTGACAACATAGTTCTTCCAATTGCATTTGCTATGGAACGGCCTCAGGCTGTTGGCTATTCTTAGCTCTCAGGCATGAGCTGAGCTGGCATGTAGCATGTAGCTTGGCAGTGATGTACTAGTGTTGCATGTTCAAGGACCAGGATTTGACCCACAGCGTGACTGATTGCCAACTTGACAGGATTTACAGTGTCCCAGAGGACAAAGTCTGGGACAAAGTCTGGATACCCCTGTGAGCTGTCATCTAGATTATGTATCATGCCTTGAGGGGCTAATCTGGATTAGGCTAATTGAGGTTGCAAGAGCCACCTGACTGTGAGTCCCACTCTCTGAGGGCTATAGTCCTGGACTCGCAGCTGGCCAAGACCCACTCCATCCCGGCCATGGTGGACTGTTCCGTACCACTTAGAACTGTAAGCCAGGCCCGGTGGGGGTGGTGGGGGTGGCGCACACCTTTAATCCCAGCATTTGGGGCAGTGGCAGGCAGATCTCTGTGAGTTCAAGGCCAGCCTGGTCTACAGAGCGAGTTCCATGACAGCCAGGGCTGTTACAAAGAGAAACCCTGTCTGGAAAAACCAAAAAACCCAAACCAAGTCAAAAAACAAAGAACTGCAAGCTAGAATAAGCCCCTTCCTTTCTTAAATTCTTTTTGTCTGGATATTTTGTCTTAGCAAGAAAACAAGTAACTAATGTACCCAGCATCCACAAAATAAAATAGAAAGCCAAGTACCAAAATATATGCCTGCAATCCATCCCATCATCCGGGAGTCCAAGGCAAGACAAGTTCTAGACCAGCCTCAACTGTACCCTGCTTCAAAAAGACACACACGCGCACGCATGCACGCACTCAGTGTAAGTGAATTTTCAAAGCATAGGCAGCTAGCTGGATGCCGTGGTGCACACCTGTAATCCCAGCTCTGGGAAGGTGGAGGCAGGAGGATCAGGAGTTCAAGGCTATCCTCAGCTACATAGAGAATGCAAATTCAGTCTGGACTACACGAGACCCTGTCTGAAAAGAAAAATCGCAGAAGTCGTGTGTCGGCTGCAGCGAACTACCTCCCCATCCCTGGCGTGGGGGGAAGCCGAGGGTCTCCTCCTCACTCTGCCCCCAGTATACCTGAGTGCCACATTGCTGTGTGAGGCCTCTCTCAACACATACAAGCGGCCTGGCTTCCTCCGTCCCCACAAAACCAGCGTGCACAGATGGGACTCCAGCCTCAGCTGTGACAGGCAGCAGCGTGGGCCACTTCAGCGATGAACTATGTGGCTGCTGGGACCCAGCCTCACGTAAGCAAAGGCCATCTCAGCCATAACTGCCTTCTTGCCTACCGGATGACCCTGGCAACATTCCAGACCCTGTGGCACAGACAAAGCCATTGAGCCCACCAGCGGGCCAAGGTGTGACGTGTCATGGTGAGCCGTTGACACCTGGGCTTGCTTTCTTTAGAAAGATTTTACTATTTTGAGCCAGGCATATTGTTGAACACCTTTAATCCCAGCACTTGGGAGGCAGAGGCAGGCAGATCTCAGTGAGTTCAAGGTCAGCCTGATCTACGGAGAGAGTTGAAAGGCTACATAGAGAGACCCTGTCTTAAAATTTTTTTTGTTGTTATATGTTTTTTAATTGTGTATATACATGTGTGTGCATTTGCATGGGGGTATGAGCATGTGAGTACACCCCGAGGAGTCTAGAAGAATCGTCAGCTGGAGTTACAGGTAGTTGTGAACCTCCTGACATGGGTGCTGGGAACCAAACTCAGGCCCCCTCAAGAGTAGCAGGTGCTCTTTAACGACCGAGCCGTCTCTCCAGCCCCCACCCCACCCCACCCCACCCCAGGCTGCTTGGTAATTGATGTTGGATAAGTTAGTAGTGGGTGAGGTTCATTCATCTAGCTGTTCACCTCTGTCTGGCTTAACACAGCAACCTTTCTCACTACTGTGGGGTGTGGCCACCCGTGGCCAGCTCCACGCACAAGTCCATGTGTGCTTCCTGTGATCCTAGATCTGTCTGTCACCTTCCCCCTGTTCCCGGTCCCTTCTGCACTGATGGCCAGTTTTCCTGCACTCAGTGGGGTTGTTCAGAACCAGTGAGGGTCCCCAGAGAAGCAGGCCCAACAAGGCACGTGCACGGTCATGCTCCGTTCTGTCCATAATGCGCATCCACACAGTCATGGCCCATAAGAGACCCAAGAGGGTTACCACCTACTTCAGCCCAAATCCAAAGCCTGAGAGAAAGCAGTGGTGAGCTCCAGCCCAACACACCAGCTCCAACATGGAAAGCACGCCACCCCAGCCTTGAGGGGCTACATCTCCCACCATCCTCCCAGGCACCCCCAATCGTGTGTCTACTCAATCCACCAGTGCACAGGAACATGCGATCTCCACTTCTTCCCTGACACGCCCAGCTATCTGGGCAGCCCTTAGGCGAGCCAAATGGACACATAAAAGTAAATATGTTGCCGCCGCCACCTCCTGAAGTCTAGATTCCCAGAGGTTATGTGGACGTTGCCAAATTCAAGGGTGTCTGTCAGATGGATTTTGCACCGTGTCACACAACAGTGTCACGTCCCTATCAGTCTCTACAACCTGGGTGTTATCAGTCATTGACATGTATCTATTGACCTTTTGTTTCGTTTTGCTTTACATGTGTCTGTGTGTGAGCATTCACATGTGTTTCTGTGTGAGCACTCATGTGTTTATGTGTGTGCAGTCTTGTATGTGTGTGTTGTGTGTATGTGTGTGCGCGCACACTCTTGTGTGTGTGTGTTGTGCATGTGCGTGTGTGTATGTGTGCGTGTGAGTGTGTGTGCGCGCAACACTCTTGTGTGTTGTGCGTGAGTGTGTAGTGTGTAGTGTGTAGCAGTCAGAGGACATCCCCAGGAGCTTTGGTCACTGCCTCTGAGACTCATTGGCCAGGAGCTCACTGATGAGACTGCACTGGCTAACAGGCCCGTGGGGGGGGGGGCGGCAGCTACAAATGCTCCTGTAAGTGTAGAAAATCTTCTCGCACCCCCTCCCACGGTCCAAGCTTATACTCCTCACCCTCAGCCTCTGTCTGGCACCCCCCCCCCCGTCCATATACTCACACCCCAGCCCTCAGCACCCCATGGCCCCTGTACGCGCCCCACACCCCTCAGCCACCGTCCACAGCCCCACCCAGTTTCTGCCAGCATCACTGTCTTGTCACAACCGCCCAGTAAGCCTAGTGATGACACTGCTAACCAAGCCCCCATCTCTGGGCCGATCTGCCTGCCCTCTCGACACACCTGCCATCGAGCCTAGCACGCTCCTCTCCTTCCTCTCCTCCTACTCCCCCCCCCCCCCCCGCTGTCCTTTTATACTGCTTGCGAGAGTATCCAGTAACTTTCCCATCCGCGTGTGCTGTCTCCCAGACTGCTTGTGGCCCTCTCTATGCCCCTGACCCTTCACTGGCCAGTGTCAAAGGCAGACAAGCCAGGGAGGGTGGGCTGGCCGCTGTCACTTAAGCCCAGCCCCTCCACCCTGTGTCTCCAGGTCAAGCATGGACAGCTACTGAAGCAACAGGAGAAGATGATCCATGACATGGAGCTGGCCGTGGCCCGCAGGGAGACCATCATAACCAAGGCTGAAGGGCAGAGCAAGGCAGACAAGAAGATCATTACCAGGACAGACTTCCACTTCCAGCAGAATGAGCTGCGGAGGAAGATCAGGGACACACACAAGGTATGACCTGTACTTCCTCTGCTTCCTACCCCCCCCCCCCCTCCTTACACTTCCCACATGGCCTCATCCCTTCCTGGCTGACCCTGGTCCCCCATGTCTTCTGCGAAGCCGCGTTGGCATCGTGGGCCTCGGGGCCCTGGTGTCTCCCAGGCTCTAGCCGCCCCCCACCCCCGGGCCCGCCCCTCCCCATACATCCCATAGGGCCTGTGGCCATCGAATTCCTCTTTGGGAACTGTGGCAGTGTGAGCGAGATGTCCCCATAGCCTTGGGCATCTGAACACTGGGTCCCCAGTTGGTGGCACTGTTGTGTGTGTGTGGGGGTGTTCTGGAGGCGTGGCCTTGCTAAAGAAATTATGGGTGGTGGCAGGCTTCTTGTGTCCTCCTCCCTGCTTTGTGTTTGTGGTCAGAAGATGCGAGCTTTCGCTCTGCGCCCCCACCCCGCCCCGCCTCTTCTCTGATCCCGAATAAATCGTCCCCTCTCTAAGTCACCTTGACTTTTTCACAGCAATAGAAACGTGACCGGTATAGGAGGCCTATGGCTGGCCCCAAGCCGGATGCCTGTGTCTGCTAAGTGACTTGCTCTCCTAGGCCACAGAGGACTGCAGCAAGACTATCTCGGGACTGGAAGAAACTCAAAAGCTCCTGAGCAGCAACCTTCAGGAGAAGCAGCAACACCTGTCAAATATGCAGGGTGACATTGACGTCCTGGAAGGAGAGGTCAACCAGCTCACTACTCTCAAACGGCAGGTAAATCTCTTGGGAGGTCTCTGGGCCTGAAGCACCCAGACAGAGGGGTGGGCACCCCAGGAGAGGCCTGTGCCCCACATGAATGTCTCCCTGGGGCCAGCTGCGCCTGCGGCTGGTGACGACACCACCAACTGCTCACGTCTCTCACTCACGTTAAATACCTTGTATATTGATCTCTATCAGCCATTGGCTGGGCGCCACTCTGGATGCCTGGGCAACCAAATAGACACAAAATCCCTGTAACTGAAGATTACATTCTTGGGATGTCAGGGCCTCCGAGTAAAGTCAGGGGGTTGAATTTCTGAGGGGAGCGATCCAAAAAGACCATGTAAGCGTCGGGGCGTCGAGGAGGAAGAAGCCATTCAGGTAGGTGGAGTAGCCAGGCCAAGAGGGGCCTGCCCAGACTGTACCAAGCCTTGGGAGGAGCGGGGTCCTGACCTCAGGAGATAGTGTAAAGCTCTAGGACTGAGGAAGGATCTGCACTCAGGCTGATCCCTCCTGGCTCTGGGGCAGAATGGAACACAGGGCATCAAGGGTAGACTTTAGGGGCCCTGCAAATCTGAATCCCAATGTCTGTCTGAGCCTGCATGTAACTCAGAAGTTCCTCAGTGGGGTTTCCAGCTGGGCCAGCTGTGGTAGAGTCTAAGAGTTCTGCCAGGACTCAGGAGTGCATCAAGCACCAGGCAGCAGCCAGAGCGCCTCCCCCATAGATGAGCCTGGGGTGCAAGGGCCCTTCCCTTGAGTTAAGAGACTTGGCTGGGTCCTTTCAAGAATACCTCTTGCCAGGCTGTGGTGGCTCACACCTTTAATCCCAGCACTTGGGAGGCAGAGGCAGGCACATCTCTGTTAGTTCCAGACCAGCCTGGTCTACGAGAGCTAGTTCCAGGACAACCCCCAAAGCCACAGAGAAACCTTGTCTCAAACAAACACACCTCTCCTCTTTTCCAGTCCCTTTAGCCTAAGTTGAAGGCAGGGGTCCTCTTGACTTCTGGGGACTGACACAGGGTCTCTTTCCCACCCAGAACCTTTTGGATATCGTGGCCCTGCAGACACGTGCCAAGTACCTGCAGGCTGCAATCGATGGGAAGTATGTGTTCCTGCACCGCAACAGCAAGGCCCAGCTGTTGGAACGCAAGAAGCTGGACATCCGGCTGACCCAGCTCAGCGCCGTCCTCTCCCAAGTACAGGAAGACTACCCCCATTTCCAGGAGGAGCTACAAAAGATTCAGCAGAGGATCGCCAGCAAACTGAAATCCCCAGAGGCCTCCTAGACAGCACTTGGCCCACACCTGCCAAGGCTGCCCAGAAGGAGAGCCAGGGAACCCCCCCCCCGTGTCCCAAAAAGCCATGTGTCCCTAGAATGACACCTGTGTGATTCACAGCCACTCTGCTGTTCACAGCGGCTGTGATGCAGCGTTCCCGATCCACTGAGGTGGACATGCCAGCCTGCAGGGGCATTACTGGGGACTGCTAGCCTCTCTCCCCTCGGGCTTACCCATCCAGGTAAAGACCATTCTACCGCAGTTCCACAGGGCAGCCCACACCCGTCACGCTGACCTGGGACGGGCCCCCTCGGCTCTGTGGAACAAGAAAGGGAGTGAAGGCCCTCGGGAACAAGGTAGAGTGCTTGCCCACCCGATACCCAGAAGCCACCTTCTCTCTGGCTCCTCACCTCCACCAGAAAGAAAGCTTAGCCTTCTCCGGGCCCCCACCTCAGACCAAAACCCAAAGATCAAAGCCAAGGACCCCAGGATCCCGAGCGCGGCAAATGTCTGCGGAGGGGGCAGCTATGTCAGTGAAGGGGCACCCACCCGTCTGCCGGCCGTCCACCGACCTCTGACCCCTCTCTTCACCCCGGCCTCCCCCACCCTGGGTTTCTGAGTTACCCTTTCACTTATGCAGGTGTGAAACAGAAAAATGTCCTGTGGAATAATCTCAGCTTTAAACTTTACAGCAGATAAATAAAACTTACGAAAGTTGTTTCCAGTCAAACGAATTAGACATGTTCACCCTAACAATGAAATAACAAAAACAACCAAGAGGCGGGGAGACCCCAGCCCCGCCCACCCCGCCCACCCACAGCACTGCCCCGCTGGCCTCTCCTTAAATACTTGTTGTGCGCGAAGGCTGCTGTGCCTGTTACAAAAGTTTGTGAACTGCCTGTCGTCAGTGCGATTGGACACAACAGTGGGAAGCAGAGAAAGGGGTTACTTCAGGTCCAGCGTTTCCAAAAGTCTGACGGCCAGAGAGCACAAGCGCCCGCCCCGTAGTATCCTCTCCTGCAAGAGCGATTACAGCACTACAGGAAGCCAGGGCCTTGCTTGCCCACGGCAGGCCTGCGCTCTGCCCCTAGCTACATCCCTGCCTGCCAACCTTGGCTTTTGAGACAGGGTGTCCTATGTTGGACTCAAACTGGCAATCCTCCTGTCTCCGTGTCTCGAGCGCTGAGGTCACACGTTTGCACCACCACCCTTATGTCTCAATTTATGGCCATCACCAAACAAACGTCAAAAGCCTCGGGTCGTTTAATGTTTTCACCGGCGGAGGTTTTCTGTGTGGCCACGTGTTTTCACTCTTCCCGACGGGGCTTCCAGGTCAGGGCTGGCTCTCACTCCCCCTGGAGCGTTTGGGATGATGGCCTTGGTTGGGCTGGGTCTGCCCTAGGGTCAGCGTCGTCCCGGGCACCTGCGCGCTCTGTCGCCCGCGGCCACTAGGGGGCGCAGCGAGAACGCGCGCCAGGACTCCGGCGCCTACGCAGGAGGCCGAGTCACGTGGTCCGCGCGGGCGAGCCCCGCCCTCGGACCACGTGACCGGCGCCGTCGCGCTGGGCTCTGGGGTCTGCGGCCAGGAGGGCGATTGCGCAGGTGAGCTGGGCTGGCCGGTGGCGGGTGTCGCAGGTCCCGGGGCCTCCCGAGGAGCGGCCTCCTTCAGGCAGGCGGAGCCGACTATCAGTGAGTCCCTGCTTGGGAGAATCGAGGAGAGAACCCGAGATAGGTGGGAGCCCCGATCCCGGCCCCGATCCCCGATCCCCGACCCCGACCCCGACCCCGACCCCGACCCCGATCCCGATCCCGACCCCGACCCGACTCAGGCAGCCACAGACAGTGACCTTAGTCACACAGCAGGCTCCGGCAAAGCCCGGCGTTCTAGGTCGTGCCCTCAGTGCTAGGCAGGCAAAGCCCTGTGTGTATGTCTCTCAGGGGGAAACTGAGGCACGGGCGCCCGGTGCCCGAAAGCTTGGGTTTGGACTCTGCCTGCGCCTAGTGGCGCCGCGGATCCAACAGCTTTCCAGAGAGCAAGCTTGGGTCCCCAGATGAGCGGTGGCGCCTGACCTTTAGTTCCTTCCCCATTTCTATTTTTATTTATTTATTTATTTATTTACTTATTTATGTTCCCCTCTAAATCGTGGAGCTGAAAGAACGGGCCCAAGCTGTCTGTTTTCTGTTTTCTGGGGCTTTGTTCTGATATACGACATGTTGCTCAGTTGCACCCCCACCCCCACCCCACGGGGCCTCCTTGGAAGGTTCTGGAAGATGCAGAGTCCCACGCTGCCCAACGGGAGTCTGAACCTGTGATTGTCGTTGGATGCTGAATCATGGCTGTCACATGTGTCGGGAAGGGCCAGGCGGAGCTGAGACTGCAGTAAAGACAGAATGGTGTCTGATTCATGCTTGGGCACCCTGTGGCTAACTGTCTTAATATCGGTAGTCGGGAAGCTGAGGTCCCTAGTGGCTCTATGGCCGCTGGGCACCTGAAAGACAAGGTATGATTGGACAGTTGGCAACTGCAGCCCACCCAGGCATTCCTCCCCCCCACGAGAGGCTAGAGATGATCACCATGGCTACTGATTACATCAATCATGCCTGTATAACGGAAGGTCCACAGAACTATACAGAACTGGGTGTGAATCATCAGTGCCAGAAAACACAGCGTTTGGGAGGGGCTGGCAGGAATCCAAGGTCATCGTTGGCTTCAGAGCAAGTTTAAGGCAAGCTCGGGCTACTGGAGACCCTAATTCAGGATGACAGCAAGCATCCTGCCTGGTCCACACATTGCAGGATGCTCCCACCTGTTCCCAGCCCATTTCTTCCTTCTATCTCGCTGTTCTTGACTTACAGCTTAAAAAAAATAAATAGATAAACAACAACAAAAAGAAATGTAAATGTGAGTGGAGCGCTTTTCTGAGCTCTGTGAGGTAGTCTAGTGAGTTCCACACTTGTGCGGAGGTCCTCGGAACCACCAGGTTGATAGCTGCACCAGGAGTAGTGGTGGCAGCCTGGGGTTTGTAGCTGGCATCTATGTGTGGTAGGCCCCAGCCTCAGGAGTCTGCCCTGACTGTGGGTAAATCAGAACTGAATTGGGTTTTAGTTCACCCCCCCCCCACCATTCCCCCCCACACACACACGCACCCTGCCCGTGACTAGAGAGCTGGGGAGCCGCTGGCAGTAGAAAGAAGTCACAGGTATTATGGGTAAGAAATTCACTGTCCACCTGGAGAGCCCAGGCTCACCAGTGGCCACAGGCGCACCCCAAGTGCTGGTCAGAATATTCACAGCTGGCCCTTCTGCAGCCTGGCTGTCCGCCATCTCTCGGCTGTGCCCGGTGACCCTGAGAACTGCCACTGTGCCAAGCCCCCTCCCTGTCCCCGCCACATCCTGAAATGAGCCCAGCTTCTGGGCAGGCTCCTCTGCGGCCGGTTGCAGCCTGAGGACCCTGTGACCTGGGCTCTGTGCCCCACCCACCCCATTTCTTCCTGTCCCTGGGGTTTGACTTTGTGGCTCACCAGCCTTCCTGCTCACCCTTCGCCCTCACACAGAAGGCCTCTGGATAAAGTCCTGGCTCCCTTTCACATCTGTCCGTACAGGGCTAGGGCCCCATGTCTGCAGCAGCCCCTCTGCCTTCCTCATCATGGCGTGGAGGGAGATACTCAGGCTGCCTGCTCTCATTGCCACTGTGTGTGGGCGCCGCTCTGAGATGCACCGTGGCCCTGTGACCCCCACGCCGACCCTGACTGGCCCTTCCTCTCTGCAGGCCTCCGGGACTGCTCATGCTGCCCTGGGCCAGCAGGCTTTCACCGTGAACATGAGGAAGCCACTATGTTCCCACTCCCTGGTTGGCGTCTGCACACTCATCTCTTTGACTTCGGCTGTCATTCTGGGTCATCTCATGCTCCGTGACTTAATGCTGTTTCCCCAAGACCCTCAACAGTCCTCTCCAGAACTGCAGAAGACCTGGTTTAGACCTCACCACCAGGAAGGTTCCCGACCAGGGCCGCCCCAGCGCATGCAGGAGCACGCTGACCAGCCTGCAGTGGTGCCCACGAAGTGTGATGTACCCCCCAACAGCCGCTTTGACTGCGCCCCAGACAAGGGCATCTCCCAGGAACAGTGTGAGGCCCGCGGCTGCTGCTACGTCCCAGCAGGGCAGGCGCTGATGGGACAACCCTGGTGTTTCTTCCCTCCCAACTACCCAAGCTACCGGCTGGAGAACTTGAGCTCCACGGAGATGGGTTACACAGCCACCCTGACCCGTACCAGCCCGACCTTCTTCCCGAAAGATGTGCTGAGCTTGCAGCTAGATGTGCTGATGGAGACCGAGAGCCGTCTCCACATTGTGGTGGGTGTGGGAGTGGTAGACCCTGGGTGGAGCTGGGTCACCGGGAGGAGACAGCCCCATGCAGAGGGATGGGCCAGGCAGAGCAGAGAACAGGTGTGTAGACAGGTGACTGCATTTTTCTGAGGATATGTGTAGCATGATGATGGTAAGTAGACAGACCCCTACTGGGATACCAGGTGTGAGCCCAGGGATCATAGAGACACCGCAGCCATCTGAGATGTCCCCAGTGGTGGCTCCGGTACTGACCACTTGCAGACAGCAGGGGTTTTCGTCTGCTCTGTTCCCTGCCATCTCCTCCCAGCGTGCTCACACCCTGTTTCTGTGGAGGGTGATTTTGTGGTTTCCGTATAAAGCAATACCGGGGGCATCGTTATGCTAAAAACTGTGGGAGCTGGGAATATGGCTCACTGGGTAAAGTGCTTGCTGTACAAGCCTGAGGATCTGGTTCGGATCCCCGGCACCTGCGTAGCAAATCAAGCGTGACAGCACACACCTGGGGCTCACAGGCCACCAGCCTAGCCCAGCTGGAGACAAGCTACCTCTGACTTCTACAGTTACACGTGTGGGGCCTGGTGCATAGCTCAGTGGTAGAGCATGCCCTTAGCATGTTCAAGGCCTGAGTTTGAGCCCCAGCAGTGAAGAAAAACAATTATTTTTCTTTTATAAAGTGGCCATGCTTGTAATTGCAGCGTTTAGGAGGCTGTAGCGAGAGGATTTCTGTGGAGAAATGTCAGCCTAGGCTTCTTCGTGAGTTCCAGACTGGCCCAGGCTACAGAAAGAGATCTTGCCCCGGATTTTAATTAATTTATTAAAAGCAAGGGGGAAAAACACACAGAGAAGTATTTACCATTTATCTGAAGTTCGAGTGTAGTGAGTGCTCTGCCTTTGGCGGCCCCAGGGAAGTCTCCTTCCCTCCAGTTATGTAGCTGAGGAAGGGTACACACAGTCTGCAGCTACCCTGGGAGGGACCCCAACTGACTGCCCGCCCTGAAGCTGTGTCTCCTGGAGGTATGAAGGGACTGCAGTGAGTGAGGGGCCATCAAGGAGGGGCCCCCTGGCTCTTGAAGGCCTCTGAGTACCACTTGCTCTTCCCTCCTAGATCAAAGATCCTGCTAATCAGCGCTACGAGGTGCCGGTGGAGACCCCGCATGTCCTGAGCCGGGCACCATCTCCGCTCTATAGTGTGGAATTCTCAGGGGATCCCTTTGGAGTGATTGTCCGCAGGAAGCTGGATGACCGGGTGCTGTGAGTTGGGTGCTCGGAGCCTTGACCCTACCCTGGGTTGACAGGGACATGGTGGGTCGTCCCCCCCCCCCCAGGGTCAGAGCTTCCAGAGTCAGCCTCATCCCTGGCTCTTCCGTTAAACTGACCCTGCCTTTGGCTAGTCTGTTTCCCATTGCTCTGATACATAGCACGAGCGAAAGCAACCTGGGAAGGAAAGAGTGTATTTCATCTTTCAGCTCCCAGGTCACAGGTCACACTCTGTCAGGGCAGGAAGTCAGGGCAGGGACCTAGAGGCAGGAGCTCACACAGAGGCCATGGAGGAGCGTGCTCACTGGCTTGCCTAGCTTACGTTCTTATTCAGCCCAGGACCACCAGCGCTGGGGTGGTACCCCCTCCCCAGTGTGCCGCTGGGCTTCCCCACATCAGTCAGTGAAGAAAATACCCCCACAGGACCGCTTGTCGGCCAGTGTGATGGAAGCATTTCCTCAGCCAGCCCCTCTTCCCAGATGGCCCTAACTTGTATCAGGTTGACAAAACCCAGCCCCCACAGCCCTGTTCCGTTTGTGGACCACAAGCACTCATCCATGACCCGCTCTTGAGTGCTCACCCTGGCGCGGGCTTGGTGCTTCTACATTGGGTCTCAAAGGTTCCCTCTGTGGCTTCCCAGGGAGGACTAATGCCCGCAGGAGATACATGGCACCCACGCTATCCGAGATACCCCACTATAAATGGTGGTCCACCCTGTGGAACTAGGGAAAGACCCTGGTCCAGTCCACAGTGGCGCCCCCTGCAGGTGGCGCGCCCAGTGGCCTCCCTTCTCTTGTTTATTAAACACACTTCTCTTAAACACACTTCTCTTACCGTGCACTCCGCTGTTGACTCATTTTATCTCCGTAACCAACACAGACTCTGGTGAAGGGCTGGCAGGGGACAGAGCTGGACCCCGGCATCCCTGCCCGTGCTACTGTGTCTTTGACCTGGGGTAACATGGGCCCCTCTGAGCATGCCCACTGCGGCTCCCCGTTATCTTCAGGGGTTGACAGTTGCTGGTCTCTGTGCAGCCATTGTCCCAGGGTTGGCCCGGTGCAGAGCTGGTGAGGCCACTCTGCCCCTCCCCCCCAGCCCTCTCCACTGGAGGATCCGTCATCCTGGTGTCGTCCCCCCCCCCCAGGCTGAACACTACCGTGGCCCCGTTGTTCTTTGCTGACCAGTTCCTGCAGCTGTCCACGTCCCTGCCCTCCCAGCACATCACGGGCCTCGCCGAGCACCTCAGCCCGCTCATGCTCAGCACCGAGTGGACTCGGGTCACCCTCTGGAACCGGGACGTGTCACCCTTGGTAAGAGATGAGCACAATACCAATAAGCCATCCAGAAACAAAACAGGAGATGAGCACAAGGCAGGAATGGACAGGCTGGGGTCCTGGGTGCGAGTTGCTCTCTCTTGTCATTCCAGCCAGGTGCCAACCTCTATGGGTCACACCCTTTCTACCTGGCACTGGAGGACGGTGGCTTGGCTCATGGTGTCTTCCTGCTGAACAGCAACGCCATGGGTGAGTCACCAGACCGGGGCTCCTTAGTCGTCCTTCAGTGGGAGAGCCTGCCCCAGAGTGCCTGTCTGAAGGGACCTTACGTGGAGAGAGTCCAGTGAGCGGAGCCCTCACCCTGCTCATCCCTCCCTACCTAAGAAGCCCTGGGGGATTGCCCAGGCCCACGCGCCCCACGTCCTTCAGGCCTTGCTAAGTTGGGTTCAGAACAGCTGTCCCTCCCCTATCCCTCCAGCCCTCATCTCCAGCCCTTGTAGGGGAAGAGCCACTCTGTAGCTGCAGGTTGGCCCGTCGGTGGGGGACTCGTTCCTGAGCCTAAGACACTTTCTTCCAGATGTTGTCCTGCAGCCCAGCCCAGCCCTGACCTGGAGGTCGACAGGTGGGATCTTGGATGTGTACGTGTTCCTAGGCCCAGAGCCCAAAAGCGTCGTGCAGCAGTACCTGGAAGTTGTGGGTAGGGCCTTCCCCCTGCCCACTGACCTCAGACCCCGGCCCCTGCCCCTGCCCGCACTCCCTACTCACTCACAGTGCTGGCCTGCAGGACGCCCGTTCATGCCGCCGTACTGGGGCCTGGGTTTTCATCTCTGCCGCTGGGGCTACTCCTCCACTGCCATCGTCCGCCAGGTGGTGGAGAACATGACCAGAGCACACTTCCCCCTGGTGAGTGGAAGTCAGGGTGGCCAGCCCCAGCTTCCTTACCGTTAACTCCGGGTCCCAGCTTCTGCTCCCATCCCATGCTGTAGGATGTACAGTGGAATGACCTGGACTACATGGACGCCCGCAGGGACTTCACCTTCAACCAGGACGGCTTTGCGGACTTCCCAGACATGGTGCGAGAGCTCCACCAGGGTGGCCGGCGCTACGTAATGATAGTGGTGAGCGGCCAGTGTTGCTTCCCGACTCCCCCCACCCCCCACAAGCGCTTGCCCAGGACATTCTCCGAATCTCTGATGTTGAAGGAAATGTCTAGAGGTTTGCAGTCTTTGTGTCCGCTGGCCAGGTTCCTGGAAGCGCCCGTGTGTTCCAGGGAAGATGGCTCAGCAGTTGAGAACACAATTCTTGAGGACAGTTCAGTGCCTGCTACCATGTCAGTCAGCTCACAGCTGCCTGCCGATTTAGCTCCAGGGAACTGACAGGTTCTTCTGGCCTCAGGCACACCAACACACACACACACACACACACCAACACACACACCACACACACCAACACACACACCAGCACACACATACACCAACACACACACCAACACACACACACTCACACATACACAGTCACACACATACACTCACATATGTTCACACAATCACACACACACACACACACACACGCTGTCTTAGGATTTACTATTGTTAGGAAACAATTGAGGGGGCTCATTTACAGTGGCAGAGGTTCCATCATGGCGGGGAGCATGGCCGCATGCATGCAGGCGTGGTGCTGGAGAAATAGCAGCGTGTCACGTATCTTGCAGGCAACAGGAACTCGACTGACCCTGGGTGATACCCTGAGTATGAGAGACCTCAGAGCCCACCCCACAGTGACACACTTCCTCCAACAAGGCCGCACCTCTTAATAGTACCCACTCCTTGTGGTTATGGGATTTTGGAGGACCAATTACACACACTTTCACACACACAATTAAAAATAATAAGCTGGACATTGTGGCACACACCTCTAATCCTGGCACTTGGGAGGCAGAGGCAGGCACATCTCAGAGTTCAAGGGCAGCCTGATCTACAGTGAGTTCCAGGACAGCCAGGGCTTTGCAGAGAAACCCTGTCTTGAAAAACAAAAGAACACTCCCCCCCCCACCCAAAAAAAGAAGCAGGCAGTAAAGAGTTGCTTTGAACTCTGGAAGGTCAGGAGGATCACAAATCAGCCTCACACCTCCAGCCCCCAGTCAGCTCTTCAGACTGGCCAGCCGCCATTTTCACGGACTGTCTGTCTCTGCCTCTCCGGTTGCTTCTCCCAGAGGCTGGGCCGAATCCTTCTCACTGACCACTTCTTCCCCAGGACCCTGCCATCAGCAGTGCGGGCCCCGCTGGGAGTTACAGGCCCTACGACGAGGGTCTTCGGAGGGGCGTGTTCATCACCAATGAGACTGGGCAGCCACTGATCGGGAAGGTAGGGTGGGGGGGGGGGGGGACAGAGTTGCCGTCCAGGGAAAGGGTCAGATTCAGAAGCCACCATGTCCAGCAGAACAGGGAGGTTCTCAGTGGCGGGGGCAGTGGCTCCTGACAGAGTGGGGGGGGGGTTCCCAGGCATAAGCCGCTGGGCCCAGCTCAAGCCTAGCAGATCTTTCATGAGGCCTTGGGGGGCCTCCTTGTCCCTGGGGGTCTTCTGGGAGTCCTGGGTCCCAGCCTCCCCATCCTAAGGTGTCTCTAGCTGTGGGAACGGCAGGCTTGGGGCTGTGTCCAGTGGGTTGTCTTAACTCCCTCCCAGTGCTTCCTCTGCTGTAAGGCCAAAGCCCTCCAAGACCCTGGGCATTGTGGGAGAGGCTTGTTTGTTGTTGGGCTTGAGGTTTGCTGATGTCTGTCAGCTTTGACTAAGAGTGAGGCCGCTGCTTTGCTCAAGGCTGGGGCCTGACAGAGCCATGGTGGGGAGCTACGTGAACTGATTTCCCCCTCTGGACTCTCACTCAGGTGTGGCCTGGATCTACTGCCTTCCCCGATTTCACCAACCCTGAGACCCTTGACTGGTGGAAGGACATGGTCTCCGAGTTCCACGCACAGGTGCCCTTCGACGGAATGTGGATTGTAAGTATATCCCCGTCCCTGGGTACACCCCTAGTCCCCAGGGGCCAGCCCAGCTCTACATCTTAGGCCTCTTACAGGACATGAACGAACCGTCTAACTTCATTAGAGGCTCTCAGTGGGGTTGCCCTGACAACGAACTGGAGAACCCACCCTATGTGCCCGGTGAGCCCCACCCGTCTGTCTGGAGTTAGTGGCTTGAGCCAGGCGGTGCCCTTTTGTGGTTCAGAAGATGCAAAGCTCTCGATTTTGGCAAGCAGTAGGCAGAGCAGTCCGCAGGTCGGAGGAGAGAGACCAGAAGCTTAAGGTCCTGCGGAGAGTGACACAGCCAAGGCCACAGACACTCGAGTGTAACCAGTGCCTTGGGGGACGGGGTTTGGACTCAGCTGGGCACACGCTTGGGATGGAGCAACAGAAGGTGGGCATGGAGGCTGGATGTTTGCAGAGGACCGCCTTTGGTACCTCCTGCTCTGCTCTGGAGTAGTAGAGGTGTACAGTGACACACCTCAGCACCATGGGACAAGTGGGCTGGCCCCCAGGAGGTGTCAATCTGAGCACACGGACTCCTGGAAACTAGCGAAGGGGCCTAAACTGATTCTCCTCTCACCTAGGGGTAGTCGGCGGGGCCTTGCAGGCAGCTACCATCTGTTCCTCCAGCCGCCAGTTCCTCTCCACACACTACAACCTCCACAACCTGTACGGCCTGACCGAAGCCATCGCCTCCAACAGGTGAGGTGTCACCTTGTGCAGCCAAGCAGCCTGCCCAGTACTCACAGCGGAGGCTGAGAGGTGAGCTGGCTCCCATCATGGTCAGAGACAGAAGGGGACGAGGCCGCCCAGACCACCCACGGGCCTGCGATGCCTGCCCGCTGTGCTCCACTCCAGGTTGGAGCCAGCCTCTCTGCACAGGGCATCCGATGCGCCGCTGGTAGGGAATGGTGCTTAAGGGACTCCATGACTCCAGCAAGGCTCACAGTGGTGGCTCACCTGTGGATGACATCAGAGTCACTGGGGCAGGGCTGACTGGCTGGCATACTTGGGTGGTGGCCTCTGGTGCTTTGTCCCAGCACATAGAGGGTGTGAATTACCCAGTTCTCTGTTCCTCTGTTCCCATCCCACTCAGGGCCCTGGTGAAGACTCGGGGAGCACGACCCTTTGTGATCTCCCGCTCAACCTTCGCGGGCCATGGCCGATACGCTGGCCACTGGACCGGGGATGTGTGGAGCTCCTGGGAGCATCTGTCTTACTCCGTGTCAGGTGAGTACAAGCTGCTTGGAGGGTACTGGGGTCCTTTCGAGGGGCTTTGGGTTCTAGGCTCAGCCCTGCAGAGTGCATGGGGATGGTTTGGGGATCTGCTGCCACCTCATGTGGAACATGAAGCTTGCTGGTTCAGTTGTGTAAACCTGTGTCGCCTTCTTCCCAGTGTCTCTGTGTCCACTTTACCCTGACCACTGCTTGAAAAGCCCGAGACTCTTCATCTTTACAGTGGTTCTCTGGCTGACCCATCCTGAGATACAGAGCCACCCGCTCTACTTGCAGAAAGGAATTGAGTTTTGTTCCAAGAACTCTGATGCTATTGGCTCACATTAGGTCAGAGAAGTCAGGAGCCCTGGAGAACAGACTAGAGAAGGAGAGGAGCCAGAGCACCACATGGGCAGCTAAGAGCCTTGACAAGGAGTCTAGAACCTTCTGACTAGTGGAAGACTGGCTTCTATGTAGGATATGTCCACAGACATATGAAGGATCCTGGCTAGCTGAGCTCTCAGAGGTGATTCTGGCAGGCCAGAATCCAGACGTAGAACTAACTCTTGCAGAGCTGGGTTCAGAACTTGCTGCCTTCTCTTCTGGCCTCGAGTCTCCTTTGACTAGCACTGACCCAAGTTCTAGCTGATTTCAGGATCAGGTGTGACTCGGAGAAGTCTCCAGGGCCCCAGGCTACCCATCATTCCCTGGCTCTCAGGACACCAAGAAAGCCAGTGCAGCAGAGGGAGACTGGGCTGAACAACAGGAGCTTGTCCACCCTGCACACTCAGGGGAACGGCCGCCCTGGGCTGTCTGTTAGTGTCCTGAGGCTGCCATAGCCGAGGACAGCGTTAGGACGAATGTAACAGGACCCGTCTGCTCACAGTGCCCAGACCGTGGGTCTGCAGCCCAGGAATGGCAGAGCTGCAGCCCTTGGCGCAGAGGTGTGGCTTGATGCCCTGTGCAGCCTTGTGGACCCTTGCTTCTGCTCGTGGTCTCCGGGGCCTGTCACTGCAGGGCTCACCTGCTTCATCCTCACATCAATGACATCACTGTGGGACCCAGTGCCACACCCTGGCCTCTGGTGTGCTCTGCTGGTCCCTCGACCTGCCCGGCAGGCCTGACTGCAGCTGCTGCCTTGGTAACCTGGCGTCTCTGCCTCTGTACTCTCAGAGATCCTGCAGTTTAACCTGGTAGGCGTGCCCCTGGTGGGGGCGGACATCTGCGGCTTCCTGGGAAACACGTCCGAGGAGCTGTGTATACGCTGGACCCAGTTGGGGGCCTTCTACCCCTTTATGCGGAATCACAATGACCTCAGAAGCATGGTAGGAGGGGGTGGCAGGGGCCCCCCCACCCACCAAGACCCTGTCCTGCCTAATCCCACACCTCTTGGAGGAGCCCATTCCACGCTGTCCTCACCACACCGAAGGCCAAGGAGCCATCGTTTCCTGGTGTGGCCATTCTGTTAAACCCCGGCCTAGGAGCCCCTGTTCTAGTACCGTCTCTTACTGCTGTGAGAAACAGCATGAACAAAAGCAGGAAGGGCTTCTCTTTCGTCTACAGTCCCGTCAGGAGGGGAACTCAGGGCAGGCTGTTTAACACGACCCAGGCCACCTACCCGAGTGGCACCACCCATGGTGGACTAGGCCCTCCCACATCGCCACTAAGTAAAAAAATGCCACCGCCGCCGCCACCACCCCCACCTCCAGGCCAGGATGGTGGGAGAATTTTGCTCAGTTGAGGTTCCCTTTTCCCAGATGATGCCGGCTTGTGTCAAGTTGACGAATAACTAACCAGCACATCTTTGCGCTCTCTGCCCACACAGCCTCAGGAGCCATACAGGTTCAGCCAGACAGCGCAGCAGGCCATGAGGAAGGCCTTCACTTTGCGCTATGCCCTTCTGCCCTACCTGTACACCCTCTTCCATGGAGCCCACGTCAGAGGGGACACAGTGGCCCGGCCCCTCTTCCTGGAGTGAGTCTCCTGGGTCAGGGAATGACAGCCCACACGTGTCCTTTGGGGCCTGACCAGAAGTCTGTTGTTGCTAGGGAACCTCCTCCTGCTATGGGCTGTGTTCCCACTACCCAAGCAGCCTGCGCTGAGTGGACCAGAGCAAGCCTGTGCCCTCAGGCCTCCTAGACCTCAGCTCAGGGCCAGGGCCTCTGGAATATGGGAACCGGCTGGGGCACCGACCAGGCTTCCTTGCTGAAGCTTGATGAAATAATCATGAGTGACCCATTTGGGGGTGGCTTCAGGGAGGAGGACAAGCCAGAGACACCCTCTGTGTCCCCAGACCACTCTGCTCACATAGGCCTTACTTGTGGGCTCTCCAGGGCAGGTAGCAGAAGGTTCTTGGTTAGAGAGGCATGTCGCTTTTGCTCTGTAGAAGTCAGCATCTTCCCTACCACACACAGATAAGTTCCAGACAACTAGATGGCTGATGGCTGAATACTATTCGGCTGGAGAGTGGCTCAGTTGGTTAAATGTTTGCCTTACACGCAGAGGATTCAAGGTTGATCCCCAGTGTTCCTGTTTAAAAGCGTGGCATGTGGGGGTGGTGGCGCACACCTTTAGTCCCAGCACTAGGAGCAGAGGCAAGCAGATTGCTGTGAGTTCAAGGCCATCTTTGTATACAGCATGAGTTCCAGGACAGCCAGGACTACACAGCAAAACCCTGGCAAAGCGTGTAGCCACGCTTAACCCAGATGCTCTGGAAGTTTCTCAGAGACTGGGACTTCCGACTGTCCCTGCAGCTGACAGCTGGTGTCAGAGGCTCAGTCTCTAACCCTCATGCCTGTTTCCTGTGCAGGTTCCCCGAGGATCCCAGCACCTGGTCCGTGGACCGCCAGCTCTTGTGGGGGTCGGCCCTGCTCATCACACCTGTGCTCGAGCCTGGGAAAACTGAAGTGTCTGGCTACTTTCCCGAGGGCACATGGTACAACCTGCAGACGGTGAGTCCTGAGGCCCCGCACTCACAGAAGTGGTGGGCAGTCACAGGTGGCCATGCCTTCCTGGGCTGTCAGTGACATGAAAGGGGGGGTCACCTGCTCTGAGGACCCAGCTGCATGCTGGTTCCGTACGGGTCAGCTCGTTTCTATAGCGCCCACTTCTTGATGAGGAAATGAAGCCTGGGGTGGGTAGCGTCTGGGGCCCCACAGCCAAGGAGGCTGAGCTGAGCCGGGCATTCCCTGCTCAGTCCTGCACTGAGTCCACCCCTGGGATCACGGCTGGTTTGTCTCAACGGGGACATTGGGACCACCACACATAGCCTTGGGGGACAGGAGAACATGCCTCCAAGTAGCAGCATGGTAGCTTGGCTGCTGCATGGGACCGTTCTGATGCGACCTCTTCTCCAGGTGCCAGTGGAGGGTCTTGGCAGCCTCCCATCGCCTCCGTCATCTCCGCCATCAGCCCTCAGGTCTGCTGTCCACAGCAAAGGGGAGTGGTTGACACTGGAAACCCCCCTGGATACCATCAATGTGCACCTGAGGGCAGGATACATCATCCCACTGCAGGTACCCGGATGCAGCAGCCTTGGGCCTCAGGAAGGACTGAGATGGGCTTTAGCAGTACTTCAGGGGGTTGGAGGTAGGGAGCAGGCACAGGGCAGTCTGCCTTCCCTCGGAGCTCTGTCAGGATAGACCCCTGGCACCGAAACGGCCTGGCCAGGGTAGTCACCAGACGGCTTACCCAACACCTGGCCCAGGCAGTCACTATAGATGTCCTACAAGTCTCCAGGGTCCAAAGTGTGACATGTGCCCACATTCTTCCCAGGGTCCCAGCCTCACAACCACGGAATCCCGAAAGCAGCCCATGGCCCTGGCTGTGGCCCTAACAGCAAGCGGCGAGGCCAGTGGGGAGCTGTTCTGGGATGATGGGGAGAGTCTTGATGTTCTGAAACATGGGGCCTACACACTGGTCACCTTCTCTGCCAAGAACGTGAGTCACAGGGCCTGCCCAGGCTGGCAGGGAGGGCTGTGTGGATCTGGTGGAGGAAAGGACTGGGCCGGAGAATCCAGGGACCACCATCCCTGGCTCAGCGTGCCCTTCAGGTCTGCGTACAGGAGGGCTGTCCTGTGATCGTTTGGTGAGTCCCTGTCCTTGGTGGTAGGTTCTCCATCACAGTGTAATGACACTTTTTCTTCCACCCTACCAGAGCACCATTGTGAACGAGTTAGTGCACCTGGCCCGGGAGGGGGCTGACCTGCAGCTGAGGGAGGTGACTGTCTTGGGAGTAGCCACAGCCCCTACACATGTCCTTTCCAACGGCATCCCTGTGTCCAACTTCACCTACAGCCCTGACAGCAAGGTAAGAGAGCAGGCTGGGGACGAGGATGAGGGTCCCTGTGCCCCGGTGGGGGGGTGGGCAGGGAGAGGGCCCCAGTGGTGGGGTGGGCAGGGAGAGGGCCCCAGTGGTGGGGTGGGCAGGGAGAGGGTGCCGAGAACCCCAGGGACTCCCAGCTGTGTGACACACTACCGGCAAGGAGAGGTGGTGGAGGCTGAGCTGCTCCCGATGGAGTCAGGTGCTGATTCTGAGGCTCTGTCCCTGTCCCCAGTGGAGGTGGGCTGGTGTCCCCTCATCAGGTGCCTGTCTCCAGAGCATGGCTGTCGGGAACCATTTGGCTCTCAAGCCTCTCTGCTTCTGTCCCCAGACCCTGGCCATCCCTGTCTCGCTGCTCGTGGGAGAACAGTTTCAGATCGACTGGTCCTAACAGAGCACGCCCGCGGCCTCTCAGTGAGGCGCTGCACAAGCTTTCGATGGTGGCATCTGTAAGGACCCGAGTCCTGTCCTGACGCCTCCTTGAGTTTTCCCACCGTGTCACTGCTTCTGCCCTCGAGGTACTGTGTTAGGAGTGAAGCTTGCTGCTGTCTGTCCCCAGCCGTCCATCCCTGACACTAGAGAATGTGAAGCTCAGCACGGGGACATTGTACCTGTGCCAGCACGAGGCCATGCAGCCAGAGTTGGTGGCCATCGGGTTTACAGGACGCGAGAAACACTGTGAAGTGCACTTACTTTAAATAAAAAGGACATTTGGAACCAGCTCTCACACCACCTCATGTCATCTGCCACCCTCATCGCCCGCCACCCTCAGGTGCCCAGCATCACTTCTCCCTCCCATCACCTCCAGCGTGTGTCACCTGTCCAAGCGCTCCCACCTGAGGCCCCGGCTCCCAGGCAAGCCTGGAGCAAAGGAAGGTGTTTTTTGTCTGTCATGAGCTGGTATGTGTCACTCATACCAAATTTGTCACCAGGGTAATAGGCTGAGTGCCAGCAGCCCAACTCACTTCTGTGATCCCCAGAAAACCAGAACCAAAAGCATGGGGTCTCTGGGAGCCACTCATCTTACTGGATCGCTGCACTGGAGTCGCTTGCCTGCTGAGAGCTTTTGCTGGATGTGGAGGGGGAGGGCAGTCATGGCCACAGGTTCCGCCCCATCCCTCCTCCTTGCCATAGGGTAGGTAGAGAAAGCAGGGGCACTCATCTGGCTGGTCGGAGTGAGACTCTCCATCTGTGGTGGGGATCCTGGTTTCCTCCACCACGTGGAAAGGTGACAGGTAAGGGCAGGCTCCCCAAGTGTAGAGAAAACAAGGGAAGGAGCAGAGGGACCTGTCACCGCCCACATAGCCATTCCTGCAGCCCGAGTGGCCACAGGCACGCATCCTCTGGATCCCTGCCAGCCCTCACCCAAGAGGCTGTCAGCCCTCAGACACCTTGGGCTGCTGTTACAGGGCTGGTCCTACTTAGCCTGTCCTGAGCCCTGGATGGGGAGCTTTTCTGAAAGGGACAGGGTAGAGGTGGAGTGGGGTTAGTGTCACATTGGCTGAGGCCTGAGGTCTGCTCAGTGGCCCGCACTGCAAATCTAAGGCATGGGCAATCCATCCGGAGACTTGCAAATCCCAGGCCTGTGCCACCCGCCCTTCTGATGCAGGAGGCAGCCGGGGCTTTTGCAGCCCAGCCCTTCTTTCCTCCCAGCTGTTGAGTCGATGTCAGGGTCCTTTCCTTGGCTGCAGACAAGTGATGAAAGCTCTTAACAGTCAGTCAGTCAAAAGCTGGCTTGTTGTCCATGTGTTTACATCCACAAAGTTCATCTGTCATTCAGCATCCGGCTCATCCATGTGGTAGAATGACTGTCTTTCTTGGCATCATGGCTTTCTTGCTCATTCCAACATTACTTCCTAGAGGGAAGCTCATTAAGGTTCCAGAAACACGGGGTTCACAATGCTGTGTGGCAGTAACAGCTACCAGATGGGAAACTCTCCAACCGGCTGAGCTGGCTTTGTCTGTAGTCCAGGGATGCTGCTCTCTGCATGCTGGGGTGGGCTTCTCTGTCATACAGCTGCCTCCAAGTCTTCTACTCTTGTAACCCCAATAAACTCGCTGCAGTGCTAAGCCAGACTTGGTGGAGCTTGTTGGTCTGTCACTGGGGTGAGGTGTTTGCTCACATCTCAGGAAGAGTCACACAGTACAGGGACACAGCAGTGTTCATAGTTGGGGCCTTTTCACTTCTCATCTACTGTGGGTCCGGGTAAGACTGACACCACTATTCCAGTCCATGCTGTGAACAAATCCAGAGGGTGATACGTAACTTCCTAAGGGAAGAACGCAGCATCTGCTGAGGTGCTCCCTGCTCCAGCAGCAATGGGGGGCAGTTACCTTACCCCTCCCTCGATAGGGGTCACCCTCCTCTACCACCCGTGCAGTTTCAGGGAAGGGTACACAAGGAACGGTGAGGGACAGAAGGGATGACACATGCCTAGCCTGCACAGGTCCAATTAGCCGGCACCAACAGGACGCCATGTTACAGCCACACGACCCTCACGTCCCAGGCTGCACCCAGCCTGACCTTAGCAGTTGTGGAGAAGGTGTGGAGGTGCCCACGATTCTCACGCTACCAACTGCCCAGCACCAAGCAGCTCACGAGGCTCCCACGCCACCCATGTCTTCTCCAGCAAACATCTTCAAATCTCCCCCTACTTTTGAGCTGGGCAGTTTAACCTTTACACAATGCTCATTTTTATGTCACTGGCTTCAGTATCAGCTCATACCTGGCTGGTCAGTGTCAGAGGCTGCAGGCTGTTCTGCTCATACAGACTGTTAGCAGACTCAGCTACAGGTCTTCCTCCCAGGTCAGACCCCGCCGTTACCTGGTGTCCTGTCAAGTTCATGCAGTCAGGGTCCTGACCTTCACAGGACGTGAGTGGGTGGGTAAACCCCAGGGTGACTTCTCCATCCCCAAGCCTCGGCTGAGTCACATCCGCAGGGTCCGGTTCCCGAGTAACATGACTGCAGCATCCACAGCTTAACCCTCCAAAGGCCTTTCCTGAGCTGCACGCGGCCACGTCACACGCACCTCCCGCTGTCTCCAGCTTGCCCTTCACTTTCCTACTTCGTGCTATCTGAATATGTTGTCCTGACACGTCCACATCGCTTCTTTTCTATCATCTTAAAACTTCCGCAAACCAAACTCACTACACTTCTGACTTCTATGGGTTTTCTCATCTGACTGATTCTAAAGGTCTCAAGTTGGATTCTGCCCATAATGTCTGCTCACGACCCGACCAGGAAGGCTGGTGACACCACAAGAAATCTACACTCAAGTTCATGGTAAAATTTCCATGTTTAATGTAAAAGGCTTAAAGCATTGGATTATTTACACGTGGGATAGGAGAGACGGCAGCGCCCAGAGTCTCTGTTAGGGCTGTGAGAAGACAGCCCATATAACCCATATAAACAGGCTTCCTGTTTCCGAGGAGGAGCTCACAACAGGCCTTGTGTCCAGGTCCTTAGTGCAGTGTCAGCTTCAGATCAGGTCAGCCACTGAGGGAGAAGAAGGTACATTAACAATGCCACATGTCACCTCCCCAACCCTAGTAAGGAAGCTGCCCCACCCCCACCCCCAGCAGAGCCAGCAACTTGCCATTCATGGGCATCTCGTCTATCTGGGTGGAGTAGTACTGCTCTATGTCCCTGAGGATGCGGATGTCATCATTCTTCACAAAATTGATGGCCACACCTTTGCGGCCATATCGACCTGATCTCCCGATTCTTTAGAATAAAATGTGTGTTAGTTAACAGTTTCACAGATGACGGCCAACAGTCTTGAGCACAGGAAGTAGTGGATACATACCTGTGAATGTACAGTTCTCTGTTGTTGGGCAGGTCGTAGTTAATGATGAGGGACACCTGAGGGACATCCAGGCCTCGGGCCCAGACATCTGTGGAAATGAGCACTCGGCTGTAGAAAAAGCCAAAAGGTGAGAACATTTTATCAGCCTCTGCCCAGTTCTAAGCAGCCTGGCCCAGGGCCCTGAACACTCATGTCACCCACTACTTAAAATGTGGGGGTCAGCCCCTCCAGGAGAACAGGACTTTTGCTTAGCAAAAATCCTACTGATGACATCTTTAAATCTTAAGGTCAACCCACACCACTCCCATACCACAGCAGCTGCTCCGCATAATGGTGCCATCTGCCACACAGAAGCCAGAGACATGCATGCTACCACACCTGAAACATGCCTGGTCCTAACCAACATAGGAGGTGTACACGGACAAGGGGCTTGAACACATCAGTGCAAGAACACCAACACTCACATAAAGACTAATTAGTGAGAAACTGACCCCGTTAATAAGAAACCACCTATTGCCATGGGCACTAGAGGAGGTGGACTCTGTGTCCACTGCAGGTTAAGGGAAGGAGGACCCTCCCAGGGGAAGCTGGAGCAGCTGCTTTGAGCTGCACCTCAACTGGGCCAGAGCAGCATGAGGCAAGCAGACCAGAGGCTAGACAGTTTACAGATGGCAAGGACTCACACATCAATGGCTGAAAACCAAAACAAAAGCACCCAGAGAAACCGCAGGCAGAAGCAGCCCAATGGTTAGTTTCCTTCCGACAGTTCATCACTAACCCGACAGCCCCCACAGGGCAGCGTCCACTCTAAGAGCAGGAGACGCCATGGAAACCCTGAGGACGACAGGACCCTCTGCCCTCACACAGGAGCCAAAGCTGCCGGAGGCTTACCTGGCGCCTGACCGGAACTCCTTCATGATGGACTCACGCTCTTTCTGGGGCATGTCTCCGTGCATGGATGACACAGTGAAGTTAGCTTCTCTCATTTTCTCTGTCAGCCAGTCAACCTACAATCAGATCAAGAGATGTACTCGACAGGCAGCGGTGGCGCACACCTTTAACCCCAGCACTGGGGAGGCAGAGGCAGGCGATCTCTGTGAGTTTGAGGCCAGCCTGGTCTACAGAGCGAGTTCCAGGACAGACTCCAAAACAATACAGAGAATCCCTGTCTCAAAAAACAAAAATTAAATTGAGAGAGAGAGAGGTGCTCATCTACCCAACTAGAGACCTGTAAAATGGCAGTTCTCAAACATGGAAACACAGGGAACTCACCCACTAACAGGCAGGATGGGCATGCCTAAGAATTCTTTACAGAGAACATTCCCAGACTGCCCACAAGCTATCTCTTCAACCTAATGGGCCTGAGCCTCAGCTTAAACCAAAGACATGAAAATTATTGCAGAAAAACACGTCAGTACCCATTTACACTTGTTTAAAGATGGGCCTCATCATGTTTCCTGGGCCCCAGACACCTTCCTGCCTTGCTTTCCCAGCAGCTCAGGCTAGTCTGTGTCCTGTCTATCAGTGTCCACAGCTGCATCAACAGGGACCCAGAGCCTGAGCCAGCCCTGGCGGCCTGACCACAGGTCCAGCCTGCA